TTGTTATTATAATCAAAGTCCTCCCCCACCCCTCCTCCCAGAAATGGTACAGATTCACCTGATAAGGTAGTCATGCATGTACCACTGGTGGTTCAGGCTGATGGAAATGATGAAATTTAAATCAGAACCACCTGTCAGTGAGACATTGAAATTACAGCCTGTCCTGAATGTGTTAATGTTTGGCCTGCTGAGTTTCAGTCTTGCTTTCCTCTGTTTTATGTCGCCTATTCCTCCTTTGTGGAGTGGGAGTGTCTTATCTTTTTGCAATGCATGTCTACAGTGTATATCTTTCTTTTTTATTTTTAGTTAATTTTTTTGGAGACAAGATCTCCCCATGTAGTTTACCTGGCCTTGAACTCACTTTGTAGTTGAGTCTGGCCTTCAACTCATGGCAGTCCTTCTGCCTCAGCCTCCTGAGTGTTGGGATTACAGGAATGCACCACAATGCCAAAATCTTTTTTTATTTTTCAGGGATGGATACTTAAGAATTTGCCTTTAGTCTCAGAGGAGACTTTGAATTTGAACTTTTTAGCAGTGTTGGAACATTTAAGACTTTGATGATTTTTAGAGAAGGACTAAATGCATTTTGCATAAAGAGATACATATGAGCCTTTTGGAGGCCAGTGGTAGAATGTTATGAATTTAGACCTAAAAAGGACCTTCAAAGCTTCATGTATTTGGAAGGTGGTTGATTTATAGTGTTGGATAGCTGGCTTGCTATTGGAGGGTGGGGTCTGATCAGAGGGCATGGGTCACCAGGGGCGTGGCTTGGAAGAATATATTCCCCACCTTGCTCCTCTGTTCTTGGTCCTCTTTCCAGCTGCCATAATAAGTAGAATTCCTCCATCCATGCCCATCCACTCTGTCTTCCTTCCTTCCTTGGACAGCAGCTCTGCTCACCTTTATACCACCAACCTGGCCTTCCTGCCGTAGAGCCAGCTAACTGTGGACAAAACAAAGTGACCCAAAATAAACTTCTCCTCCATTAAATTGTGTGTATTTGGGTATTTTGTCCCAGTGAGTAGGGAAGGGACTAGGAAAGTGGCTTAAGACACATGTCCTTTTGAATTGGAGCCAGCTGAGTGTGGACTGAATCCTTTTAAGATGTGAATCAAATTAAGCCTGTCTTTGTATTTCTCTTTTCTTTTGGTTTTCTGAAACAGTCTTGACATGTAGTTTAGGAGAACTGGTTATGTAGCCCAGGCTGGCCTCCAAATTGTGGCAATCTTACTTTTTTTTCTTTTCTTCTTGGTACCTGGGATTGAACTCAGGACTTCCCATTTGCCAAGCAGGTACTTACACCACTGAACTAAACCACTGGCCCTTGTGGCGATCTTCTTGCATCAGCCTCCCAAGTGCTGGATTACAGATGTATGTGACCACACCCAGCTTCACATTTCTCTTTTAAGTCAGGGAGTTGGGTATTGTGTCCAGGAAAGACTGACTAATAAAATTCTTAAATTTTGGAAGTACTGACAAAAATATTCTAAAAACATGTTCTACTCCTGCTCACGCCAAATGTGATGTTCTAGATTTATTAAATGTAACTCCTGATATATGCTAAAAAGTTACATGTAAGAAAGAATATACAGATAAAAGAGTATCTTTAGGTAGTTGAAACACTGTTCCAGATGACATTATAAAAAGAAAGAATGGTATATTATAGTAAAAATAAAACTGTCATAAGCAATAAGAAATGAAAAGCACAAAGCCAACAAATTATTTGTAATGCATATGCTTTTCTCTTCAGACTCAGAACATAAACTAGTCACACACACACACATATGTATGTATGTATCAAATCCCTTGGAGGCATTGCTTTCCCCACTTCTCTCTTTCCCAGATGCGTATCCCAGTGAGTGTTACTCAGAAAGCTAGCAAAGATTTAGAGCAACTTAAACCCACTTGTTCTGTTGCCTTTGTTGCCGTGTATTGATATGGAAGCTCAGATTTAAAGCTCCTTAGATGTTTGTCTGTTCTTGGGGGTGGGGATTTAGCTCGGTGGCATAAGCGCCTGCCTTGCCAGCAGGCAGTCGTGAGTTCGATCTCCGGTACCCATAAAAAGGAAAAAAAAAAGATATTTGTTCTACATTGAAGCTCTGGCTAGCATAAACCTTTACATAGGTGTCACTGGGGCCGCATTGGCCTTCATAAAACTCTTTTCATGTATTTGTTGAGAAGTTCTGTTGTTTCCTTTGTTGGATCATTGTTGCTTGGGTAATAGGATATGGAGGAACAGGTAGCATCATTCAATCATTGAATAAGTGTTTATTGACATATACTATGTAACCTTGATACTGTTTTATGCACTAGAAATAGTAGTGGAGAACATAAATTTTTGCCACAATGAGGCTTATATTCTAGGGCAGGTGACCAGGTAGACAACAAAATGTTTATACCATTGAAATATCTACAGAAAAACCTGTACATGAAATCCTGTCCTTGTAATTTTAATATTTAGTCTGTGTGGGTACAAATATAAACAATACCCATAACAAAAAGGACGGAGTACTTGAAGAATTTAAAACCAGTTTGCCAAAAAGTTCTTAGTAGCTGGTATAGGGACTTTGGGGTTTGTCTGTTTGTCTTGCATTTGTAAATGGTATAATAGGCAGCTATTAAAATATTGGTGTAGTTATATATTTATGAACATGGAGAGAATAAGTGGATATATTTAGCATGATCACAATATGGGTAATATTCTTGCTGCCTCAGATTTCAATCCTGAAAAGGGAGTTACAGTAGTGTCAACCTGGGCTGCTGCTCCTGCTTATTCACTGCATCTGTGGTTTGATGACTTACCTAATGGTAAGTTTGGGAGGAACTGGCCATACTTACACCCTTCTTTCTGTTTAAAACCGTCTAGTGTCTAGTCCAGTGGTGGCAAATCTATGGCATGTATACTGTAGTGGGCTGTTAATATCATTGAAAGCTCAAAAAGTTTGCATATATAGGGGCAAATTAGGAGCATAAGCAAAAAGCAAAAACAAACAAACAAACAAAAGCCAGGGCATGATAAAATCATCACATGCTTACCTGTGGTTGACAGTTTTGAAATTATTACTTGCTTATCTGTGTACCACATACTTGAGAAATGTAACCTACCTTATACTTGAGAAATACATTCCTTGTTATTCATGATTAAGAAATCCCCAACTGACCTTATCCCTTTCCCAGAAATAAAGGCTAAGACCCTGATTGGCCTAGACCACACCAATCAGTGAAGGTTATTTTTAGAACTAAGCTTATCCATGTAAGTATGAGGTTCACCTCAGACTTACTGGGCACCCTGAGCAGGGTGTCCCGTCACTTGCAGCTCTCTCTACTACAGAGTTCTTCTGCTTTCTCTGCATTTGCCACACTTTAAATTTTCTCTTTGCACTGCATTAGTCTTGACTCCCCCATTTTTGCTGCAAACTCTGCTTTATCATTCTTTACCAGAGTAATGGCAAGGACCGGAAGAGGTGAGAGGTTATCCTGAGAGACTCCTAGCTATCCTCCCTCCCGCTCCCCACCAGCACCATCACTGTTTTAGTCTTTCCTGTGGCATTAAATGATTTTTTACTTACTTGTCTTAAGTTACTTTAGCATTGTTGAAACACAGCACCCCACATCTGCAACTCTGAGAGGAAAGGTTTATTTTGGCTCTCAGTTTATAGGCATTTCAGTGCATAGTTGGCTGGCTCCAAGACAGGGCAGCAAGGCAGAAGAGAAAGAGTTCATAGCCATAGCAGGAAATAAAGGATGATGGAGGGAGACACCCTTCTGAGCCACACCTCCAGTGATCCACCTACTCGGACCAGGCTTTCCCTTACAAATCACATTTAGCTCTAAACTCAGTGAAACTATTCCATTCATGAGTATCATGTCCCCATGATCCAGTCATCTCCCAAAGGCCCTACCTGTGAGCACATGAGGCTTTGCAGGGAACTCTAGATAGAAACAGTAGCACTTCATAAATAAGTTGTGCAGAGCCTGCTCCTATAGGGAAAGGCCTACCCCTGTGTAGCATTAAAGCATTCCTTTTGGGGGTTCACAGCAGCCCTTTTTGACTTGTAAACCTAAAACTTCTAATAGTAGCAACAATGACATTTTGTTTTGTTTCCTCATCTTGTTCATAGCTGTAGGCATGCAAAGAGTTGTCAGTTTTGGGGTGATCTCTTTGGACACTTTAGAATATGATCATATTTGTATCAGTCACGTTTACTAGAGAAACAGATATAACACAAGATATACAAATATTTATGAGTTTACAAGATTGGCTTACAGTGGCCAATCACAGAGTCACGTGTACGAGTACAGAGTGTCTCTTTACACACTGGAGACTGAAGGATCCAGTCCAAGATCCAGAGTTCACTGCAGTGTCCTGGGGGAGTCATTATCAGGAAGCTGATGGGTCTGCAATGGAAACCAGGAGATGACATCCAACTGAAGATGAAGACGTGAACTCCTCTGAAGAAACAGAAGCAGATTCATCCTTCTGTATTTCCTCTACATACTATCCAAGTGACAAGCTAACCTAGGTTGTAGAATTGATGAGTTGATTTAGTTAAGCTTCTCTTCCTCAAGTTGACACAATCAACCAACCATCATGCTATTTTATTTAATTTTACAGATATTTAGAAATTTTTCTGTATGTATACATAGGAAAAAATCTAGAAAGGTATTTGTCATAATTTTACAAGAGGCTGGTAGCGTTAGGTGCATTTTTCCCCCTTTAGAATTCACCGAATTCGTTAGGTATATAATTTAGAAATAATGAAACATTTTAAATCTTCAAAAAATTTAATCAGGTCTGACTTTCCATGTAGAAGAATCAGTCCTCTTTATATAGGAGCTTTAAGTCTGAGCTTCCGTATCAACACTGCATGGCAACAAAGGCAACAGAACACGTGGGCTGCTTTTTAAAAAATTTTTTGTACGCTTCCTGTTGTGTCTTTATTGGTATCTTAGTGTTTTGTAAATGTATCCTAATTTTTATGTATGTTAACATTTTACAGAAAAAGCTACAAATGAATACAATACCACAGAAGATTGGAGTCTTATTATGGACATATGTGACAAAGTTGGAAGCACTCCTAATGGGTATGATACTCAGTGAATATTGAACAGTTTTATTAGCATGTGTGTTTTTCATGATGTAACTTTGAAAGGACACTGAAGTCCTAATTTTAAACAAACTCTTTATTTAGCTAAACTTTTATTTTGTTTGTTTTTGTTTTTGGGTACCAGGAATTGATACCAGGAATTGAACTCATGATCTCCCACATGCCAGGCAGGCACTTTTGCTGCTGCGCTAAACCCCTTTCCCACTAAACTATTACTAAACTTCTTACTTAACCGTTTACTGTTGGGAGATATTAAGTAAACAGAGCCCATAGACTGGGTTTATAAATCTTATCCTGAAAGAACAAGTGGAAGAAAGTTCTTAACATACATAAAAGCTTGACACGACAGGGACAAATGTTAACAATAAATAGATTAGTTATTGGACATTTCCCTGTGACTTAGACATGTATGAGAACATTCCATTAATGAATAAGTAAATACAATAGGTAATGTCATGAAAAAAAGGAACTGTAAAAGCATTTTTGAGGCGAATGTAGAAGTTAAACTGAACTGATTATATTCTAGAAGTTAAGAAAGTGATGAAAACATTTAACACTCAGGTTTTCATAGTGCATTCACATTTGTATGTGAATCTTCTAAAATTACATAGCTATTTCTTTACAAGCGGAGGATAAGAAGAGAGTTTGTATGATGTAATTCTTTTGTGTCGACTTTCTATGAGATGTGTCTGTTTCAGAGTATATAATGATTGCAGCAATTATTTTCAAAGTTCTGTGAGTCTGTGAACAAAAGATTGTGTAAAATCATTTTATAGACTTACTCCTTAACAAAGGAGAGTTTCTGGGACTTTATTTTTTAAGTTATTTGGTTAGGAATATCTTGTAATTTAAATGTTTGAGTTGAAATTATAAAACAAAATATGGGGCCTGCCTGGCAAGTGCGAGGCCCTGAGTTCAGTTTCTGGTACAAAAAAAAATTCCAACAATACTATCTGTACTTTTTTCTTAGAGCAAAAGATTGCCTGAAAGCCATAATGAAAAGGGTAAATCATAAGGTTCCTCATGTTGCTCTACAGGCATTAACCGTGAGTAAAAAGTTATGTTATTTGACCCAGTTTTTAGAAGTGCATTTATTCTAGTATTTCAACATTTGCATATTAACTTTTATTGTTGTTAATAGCTTCTTGGGGCTTGCGTGGCAAACTGTGGAAAGATATTTCATTTGGAAGTATGTTCCCGTGATTTCACAACAGAAGTACGTGCTGTGATAAAAAATAAGGTAAAGTTTAAGAAGAGAAGTAATTTAAGTCATTGTAAAAAGCATGTATTGTCATCAATTAAATTCTGTGTAATAAAGTTAAGGTGAAGTTACTTTTAGGTAAATTAGAATGATTTAAACTTCTTGTTCTGAAATTTGATTTTTAAAAATCGATTGTACCAGAAACAGTTTTTCTGTCCAAAGCATATATACTGTTTATAGTAGCTGTCTTTATTGAGTTCTAGTGAGTAGTCATTTCGTTAACCATTTTATGTAGAGTGTCTTATTTGTACAGAACAGCCTTGGGGAGAAGTAACTTTTCCAAGGTCATGTAGCAAGTAAGATGACGTAGCTGAGATTCAGATCTAGATTTCTGTGTCTAGAGACTCCAACTTCTGTAACTGCCATTCTGTATTGATCCCCATTGCCCTTGGTGAGCAAAGGAGATCTTTATTCGGCAGGGAGGTCATCATAGGCTTGTCATATTTCTTTGTGACAAAAACATGAGTGTTAGTGGCAAAAGTCCCTGAATTTTAGTAAAATTGATGCAAATTTCTTATAACTGTTGAGAATATTAAGAAAATACAAGACTAATCTTTGAATATAAAAGATGTTATTATAGCAAAATTTAGAAATCAATGTTCTAGCAAAATAATTTTACCTAACACAACCATATCTTAACAGGTAGATAGATATCTGTCTATTACTCAAATAGACTAGTGATTGCTGGGCTTTCTTTGGAGTTCATATAATTAAAAAATTTTAGTGGTAATTTTCTTTTTAATTAAATAATTTAAATATTTCTTTTAACTACAAGTTTTTGGTTTTTTTCTCTTTCTTTTTCTTTAAAAGGCTCATCCTAAAGTGTGTGAAAAGCTGAAATCTTTAATGGTGGAATGGTCAGAGGAATTTCAAAAGGACCCTCAGTTTAGTCTAATATCTGCAACAATTAAATCAATGAAAGAAGAAGGAATTACTTTTCCTCCAGCAAGTTCTCAGGTAAGAAAAGTATTCAGATTGGCGGTTGGCCTTACACGTGTGTGTGTGTGGGGGGGGCACTGTATAGTTTAGGCTCGCCTTGAACGCACAACAGTCTTCCTGTCTCAACCTCCCAAGTGCTGGGATTACAGGTGTGCACCACCATGCCTAGCGCTGGTGCTGTATTGTTTTGAAGGTATGAATGTTATATAAAAGCTAGGCAGGGAATGTTCTGATCATAAGTCATTTCCATTCCTCAGGTGCCTGTCTAACGTGGTGCCTTACATTTAGTAGACATTCTAATTGTTTTTCTTCCACATAGTAGAACTTTGAAAAGAGAATATGGCATAATTTATCTGGAATCATGTGAAAGGCTTAGATGTATAAGGTAGCCCTTATGTTAAAAAAATTTACGGTAAATTTGAGGGGTAGCAGTATATATATATATATTTTTTTTTTAAAGATATGTAAATGACAAGGGATAAAGGTACAAAAATTAGATGATATCTATCTTGTCATCAAGGTGAGAGGGAGAGCCATGAACTCGGATGGTGAGGTAGTGAAGAAGTAGAATTTTGTGACTTAAATATGTTTAATATTATTAGAGTGCAGTGAAGAAGAGCTGGTGGCACATACCTATAATCCCAGCATTAGGAGCCTGAGGCTGGAGAAATGCCATGAATTCAAGGCTAACCTGGGCTGTGTAATAAGTTCAAAGCCAGCCTGACCTATGTAGTGGGGGCAGGGAAGAGGAGAGAGAAAGGGACAGAGAGAGGAGAGAGAAAGAACCAAATAGAGTGTGGTAGTAGTAGTACGGGAGAAATGACGTGAAAAAATTCATGGGATTTAGAATTGCTTGTTGAAGAGTAAATATTCCTAAAATGAATCGTTACATACATGATGAGTGGAACTAGAAATTTATCTGGAGAGATAGGGAATCATTTTAGTCAGACAGCTAGAGGGATAGGGATAATGACTCACAGAGTGGGCTGAATTTTTAGGTTTCTGGGAGAAAAACACTGTATCTTGCTTGGTCTTCTTTTCAGTGCTTTTTGTGATCCAGTTAATATTAGGTTGTAGGCTAAAGAAAGAGACTAACGAAGGGGGTTCTGTATTTCACTTATTTTGACTATAAATGAAAGAGACAAAGATAATTCAGTAGCTGACCAGGCCTAAGGAAACAGGTTGAGTTTCTAAGACACAAGGTGAAGTTTTAAATCTGAGCAGTTCTGGAAATCATCTTTTATGAATGTCCTCACACAGTATGGGCAAAAATATGGTGAATGGAACTACTGAGTGCGATCTAGTGAAAAGATGGGTATATAGAAATATATTACAGTGTGTCCTCATGCATCTTATTTACCAGTACTGGTATTATACATCTTATTCACCAGTTCTGGTAACATACAACTTCTGGCTCTTCCCCAAAGTCAAAATGATCATGAAAGGTAAATGTTTTCAATTAATGCAGAACATCAAAGCAGCGCAGAAACTAGCAAGATTGATGCATAAGTGTATCTGAGGGAGAGGGGGTGTTTTATGGAAGAACACTAGTAATATGTCTTTACTGTCACTAGAATTTTAAATTTAAACATTCCCTGTGTCTTTAAATTACATCTCATACTTGTAGAACTGTGTTTGCCATCCCTGCCTCTTCTCTCTCTGCCCTTCAGTAATCATGACTTGGGCTTGGCACTGCTCCTTTAGCTCTGGCTTAGCGGTCATTACCTCTCACTGAGCAAGAGATGTTGGACAGCTGAGCCCAAGAAATACAATGAAGAAAGAGTCATATTTATTCACTCCATAAATACTTAAGTGCTTTGTGTATGCCAAGTGCCATGTCAAATACTTAGAGTATGCGAAATGTAAGCCAATTCATGCCCTTTGTGCATTTATAATTTTTTGAAAGCTCTTCTTTTAGTACTTGAAAACAGCTACTTAAAATTGTCATAAGCAACTTCCCTTTTTAATGAAACTAACATATCAGTATTTTTTTTTTAATTGGTACCGAGGATCGAACTCATGACCACCTGCTTGCAAGGCAGGTTCTTATGCTGCTGAGCTAAATCCCCAGCCCCTCATACCAGTATTTTTTAAAGTTAGCTTCTGCGAGTAATTATAGAGCTTATGTTTTCTTTGAAAGGATAGTTATGTTCATTTTACCCATACATTTACAGACTGTCTCTGTTGCTGCCAAGAATGGTACATCATTGAACAAAAACAAAGAAGACGAAGACATAGCTAAAGGTAAGATCAAGCATCTATAATTTAGTATTATTCAAAGTATCCTCACCAGACAATTTTATCAAAATAAAAATTGTAATAAAACTGTGTATTTTAGTTCTATCTCATATAGAAATTAGAATCTTAAAATTAAGGAAAACAAATGTCATGATGTGAGATGGATTTAATTCATTTTTCCTCTTCACTAATATATATTTAGTGATCAATCTTTTAGAGATTATTTGTTACCTTTTTTTTAATGCCACAGTTATGAGTCAAGAACAGAAGAAATATGTTCCTTGTTTGTCCTATATGAAAAGCTACCCATATTATAATTTCACAGTCTGTTTGCTATAAAAATAATAGCTGCTCTATACGGCAGTCTGCTATAATAAAGCATGAGCAAAACTTTACTTTAAAAAATACCATGTTTTCCTGCTTTCCTGAAATTTAAGTATTTAGCATTTAATTGGACAAATGAAATATTCCCTGGATTTATTAGTAAATACAGTGGCACCTCAATTTATGAACTTAATTTATTTGCCATTTTGGGGAGATGCCTGCTTTTTTGTCTGGGTGGAGAAGATGGCCATGGTTATTTCTCCCCTGATGTAGAGTTTCAGATGAAATCAAAATTTTGCCAATTGCTTTTGTTTGCAGACTAGAAGTTTTCATGAACTGAGGTATTGCTGCATTACATTATTGTCTAACGTTTTATTTTAAAAATTTTAAAAGACAAATCTGGTGTCTTAATTTTTTCTTTTTAATTTTTCCAACTAGCTATTGAATTATCGTTGCAAGAGCAGAAACAGCAGTATACAGAAACAAAATCTTTATATCCATCTGCAGAAATTCAGTTAAACAATAGAGTTGCACGAAAAGTGAGAGCTTTATATGATTTTGAAGCTGTTGAAGACAATGAACTCACCTTTAAACATGGTGAAATTATTATTGTTTTGGATGACAGGTATGTTTTAAATCTTTAATTATGGAATATTCTGAATTTTTAAATATAGTATTCTTAATTGAGAATCTCAGATATTCAGGTCTTTGACTTTCAGTATATTTAAATCATAATAGGACCTTTTTGTATCGTAATAATTTTTTCCTAAAATAAGAGAGTAAATAATGCAAGTTGCTTATTCTTTTGTTAAATTTGCTAATGAAGTATCTTTTATGTCTTGGATGAAAGATGTATTAAATAATACTGTTAGGACTATGATTGAAAAACACATAAATATTCAGTCATCCAGGTAAATTTACATTGGGAGTATACCAAAATACTGGTAGAAAAATATCAGGAAGAAATATTGGTATATTATATTGATCAAAGCAACCAAAAGCTATTCTTTACTCTTCGTTGATTCTTAACCTACTACTAGAAGTCTTCATACAATTTCTTAGTCATTTGAAGTTGTAAGAAATAATATATTGAATCTGAACTCTATTCTTTACTAAGCTATAGCTGCCCCAGTCCTTTTTAAAATCTTGGTAAATTGGTTAAGATCTTGGTAAGTTGCCCAGCATGGGCTCAAATTTGTAATCCCCTGCTTCAGACTTCCAGATTAAAGGTTAAAAGTGTGAGCTACCATACTTGGCTTTACTTTCACTGTTAAAAGAAATTAATAAAAATTAATATGAAGAGACCTGACAGCTTGTTGCTATGAACAGAGATTACAAATGTATTTGGTATCCATTATAAATAACTCACTGAGGATATACTAGTGTGGTTTTAAATCAGAACATGTAATGGTCTTTCTTTGCTGCAGTAAATATTTATTGTGAGCATATTATGTAATAGACTATAATACAAAATGTATGAGGACACAGTTCTCTTTCCATCAAACCTGAAATAAGGTCAGAGTTAAAATTACTGTACAGATAATTATATGAGAGAGAATGTGGTTGCAAAAAAAAAGGGTACTGCTGGAAGCTAAAAACAGAGTTGCACTTGGTGCATGCATCTAGGAAAGACTGATTCAGAGGATCCATTTTCAGTTGAACCTTGACTGATTCTGATAAAACAGGAAATATTTTATAAATAATTGAAAATGAGAAAAGAAAGGTCTCAACACAGTCAACATAGTATGTTCACTGAGAAAATAATCTTCATTGTCATAAAAAAATTTTTAGTTTTTGAAAACACTCATTTGAAGTGGGGCACACGATCCCTAAAAGAATAAAGAAAGGTAAAGAAGTGATATGCTCCAAACAGGGATAGTCTATAAAGTCCCAGGGTCATGTTAGTTAGAATAATTACCGAAGAACTTTGGTTTATGCTTTGTTTTGTTTTTGTCCGAGACAGAATTTCACTGTGTAGTTCAAGCTAATTTTGAACTCACTTTGTAGCCCATTATGGGCTTGAACTATAGCAAGCCTTCTGCCTCAGCCTCCTGAGTGCTGAGATTACAGGTGTGCACCATACACTTGATATGGTCATGTATTTATAAAATGACACATTAATAAAAGAAAACTACAAAATGAGTATTTTAAATCTAATATTCAAATTTTGAACATTACTTTTATATAATAAAATTTTTTAAAATAAATTGATGTTCCCAAGTTAAATACAGTACTAATTAATGGCACAGATACCTCACTAGGTCTGTGTTGCCCTGTGCTGTGCGGTACTTAGCCTTCCTCTTTTTTTCTGTTGTAACCAGAAAAGAAAGAGTCTTTCTTATAGTGTCCCATGATAGTATTTGGCTTTCATGTGGCATTAGGTACCTGTTATAGTCTATGACTGACAGCAAGTAGAGGATTCTATTACTATGCTATCTCATGTCTTTTTCACTAACGTCCATTTAAAGCATAAATTTATTAAATAATTTAGAGCTATAAATTTCAATTAAGACTATCACTTCAAGAGATACCTTTTTATTTTGTAACTGCTAACATAATTCAGCATACATATATAAGAAGAGGTGAGTGATTACTGTCATTTTGATAATGGGACACCCTTGCTGTAGTTATACTTACATGTTATGTCTTGGTTTGAATGTTCTATTTGATTAGTAATCACTGGTAAGATATTAAACACAAATGTAGACTTGAGGACTAAAGTTAAATGGCAGTCTTAAGTTATAAAGAAGTCCAGATGACTGAAAAATGACTCTCTTCATTGATTTTAGATTTCTATGAAATTAGAAGTGTAAAATTAAAATATTCACATGAAGGATGTCATCCCATAAAAATATGTCATTCTTCAACCTCAGTTTGAGAAACCTGAGTTGACTAAAAAAGTGCACATTTCTTATTATCAGAATATATTAAGCCTTTCAACTTTCTACATTTTTAACTTTATCTCACCACTCATTTTGTTCTCTATATAAGCATTTCAAATGATTGTGGAAATCTTACAGTTCCAAAAATGCCTTGTTCTGATTAGGCTTCTGTGGCCTTGTACATTTAGTTCTTTGCTTGCAAAGCCTTTTCAAAGGAAACAAAAGCATTAGAAAAGAACATGAACTTCATTTGCAAGAAAAATTTGTGAGTCCAAGCTTTAAAAAATTTGGTTTCTCAAATTAAAAGAGCATTTTAAGGAAAAGACCCCCCCCCCAAGATTACAAAGATTCCTAGGTTTGTTTCTATTTCTGTTTGTTGTAGAAATAGCAGTTTTTTTACATAATTATTTTATCTATAAAGTCATTTTATTGTTAGCCATTACAAAAGTCAAGAGGTGATTTTTTTAAAAGATCACTCCAAGTTTTCAGTAATCTTTGAGACCTAAACTAGATGGAGGATGATCTTGGAACTGTAAGGAACAGTATGAGGCAGAGAACAGCCAAGACCACCAGGATTGTGTAAAGGCAGCATGGCGGGGAATTCAGTGTGCCTGGGTGTAGGCAAACAGGGTGAAAAGACCATCTGTAGGGAGCAAAGAAAAGCCGGCTTTTTTCTTTCTTCTTTTTTTTTTTTTTTTTTTTTTAATAGGGCTTGAAAGAAGACGAGGGGCATTAACCTGAGATTTTAGTAGACTTCAGTGGTTGAAGTTCTCTGACTGTCTTGTGCCTCAGTGGGCAAAGTCTTTGAGGCATCCACTATTTAGTTGCCTTCAAAATGCCTGGGTGTTTGGAAGATTCCATGCTCCATCTTATCTCTTTTATGACATCCTATGTTTGTCAAGGGCCCAACTGCTGAGCTGGGAACAGTGTCTCTGCTTTCTACACAGATTAGGTACTTGGGAAAGTCATACCCAAATCAAACCTTTCTTTTACTTGGATTTTTTTGTTTTTTGTAATCTCAAAGTGCATTTTTAATTTTATTTTTGCCCCTCTATTTCCCTAGTTTTAATCTCCTTTTCATCCTGGTAAGAGCCTACTTAATCTTGAAAACCCACCCATCTCAGATTTTTATATTCTCTGAGAATCCTTTCCTTCCCTGCTTTTAGCTCCCAGTAGAGTTAGATCTCTGTGTTGCTACAGCTCCTTGAATATATGTATGTAAGACCATTTTTTATAATGCATGTTAAGTATTTTCTTTATATGTATCTCTCCTGCTAGATTCATTGATTGTAAAGAAGGTCAGTGCTTTCCTGTATGGGAGGAAATAGGAAAGAGAAAACAATTCCCACCAGATAAAGCAAGATAACCTGTTTTTAAGGGAAAATTGAGACACTGCACATGGGTTTTAGATTTCTTCAGGACAGAAAGAGTATGTTAACTTTGTAATTTCAGTGCCCAGCAGCAAAGTTGTATCCTTGATAGACTTTACCCTATTTTTTTCAGTACTGAGGATTGAACGCAAGGCCCTTATACTTTTAAAATTTTGAGACAGGACCTAGCTAAGTTGCCTAGAATTTGTACTCCTCCTGCTTCCACCTTCCAGAGGGCTGAGATTCTACGTGAATACTACCACACCCAGTTTGTCCGTGGTAGATTTTCATAAGTATCACTTAGTTATGGTTTATTCTTTTCTAATATAAAAAGTTCTAAATTTATATGCTACATTCAAAATTTTACTTAATTATTAGATGGTTTATGTTAAATTATAGTGAGGGATTACCATAATTTAGAAATCTAAAGTTGAACAATAATGGGGAAAGATTGGGGACAACCTAATGTATACTGACATTAAATGTGTGTCCATGTTATAAAGAAGATAAGCAAAATCTGAAAGTACTGTTATATGACATTGAAAAGATCTATGCAGATGAGTATCTATGTGTATGTATAAGAGTCTATATATACTTAGCCAAAAATACTACAGAAGACTACAGACTGGCAAAAAAGCTACACAACAGCTTTATGGTGGTGGTGCTAGAAGGTGGATGTGAGTTTGTGACTTACAGCCACTGAGAAAGAGGACTTCAATGTTACTTACCTTTAATTTTTTTAACGCCAGAATAAAATGTGGCCAGTGATTGATTGATTCTAAATTTAGGTATGGGAATATGGATATTGTGTTTGTACTATTCAATATTTTTTATTAAATTTAAGAAAATCACTTTTACATATAGTTGGGTTGAGCCAATTTTTTCAAAGTAATTTAAATTTAATTTTTACTTTACTCCTTTTGATACAAAGTACTAAAATATAGAGGAACAAATGACTTTTGCACTGCATTTTTCAGTGATGCCAATTGGTGGAAAGGAGAAAATCACAGAGGAATAGGACTCTTCCCATCTAATTTTGTAACAACTAATTTAAACATAGAGTCTGAAGCAGGTAAGTTAAATCTTAGAGATATTTAATCTGTTAAGGTTTTTCCACTTGAATTTTGTGATTGGCATTTAAAATAGATTCACATTTGACTTCTGATATTTAAGTCATTTGTTTATAGTCGTTATAATTCAACCTATTTCTTGGCCAGTTAAATGATTCATCCCACAACAATCCTGGAAACTCTTCCTTATGTTTTGAATCCTTTGAGAAAGTATTCAAACTAGGCATGGTGGTACATATCTGTAATCCTAGCACTCTGGGAGGCTGAAGCAGGAGGATTGCAAGTGGGAACCTAGCCCAGACAATTTAGTAAGACTCTGTCTCAAGATAAAATATAAAAAAGTGCTAGAGATGTAGCTCAGTGCTAGATATAATTCTACAGTGTAAGAGGCACATGAATATGTGTGTGTCTGTGTGTCTGTGTATGTGTATAAAATCTTGGTTTTCAGTATATTCTTGAATATAATGAGCTGTATTTTGGAGAGCTAGCCAGATATTTGAAGTAACTATTAGGATTTAAAAATCCTTTGATTCCATAGATTTTATTTTTTTTAACCCAAATTTACTTAAAATTTAGTACATCCTAGCAGTTAGATAGTTTTCTGGGCATACATATGTGCAAATTATTTTTCAACTGTCTCTTGTGAGATTGTGAGATTGTGGATAACTTAATGAGAAAATACTTGCCTAGCATGTATAAGTCCATGGTTTGGTCCTTAGCACTATAATTAAACAGAAAACAAGAACAAATACTTGGTTTGTGTTGTTTTAACTGTTATCAAACATAGGTTAAAATCAGTTCTTATTTTTTTCATATAGGAAATAAAAGTTTTTTCTTAATAGAAGGGAGAAATGTAGACAAAACTAACTCATAGATGTTACTTGCTGAGTAGGTAATAGTATGCTTGTGTATTTTTTACCCAGTGATAACCCTCAGTTTTCAAATAAATGATTATAATGACAGCTTCCATTAATATTGTTACTTGTTAAATTAGAACCGAAGTTCCATGAGTCCAAGAATTCTTGTTTTATTTATTAGAATATGTATAAATGCCTAGAATAATGCTTAGTGCATGGTAAGTGCTGAATATACATGAATGACACTGAATGAACGTATGTAATAACTTTGATTATGAAATGTGATGCTTAAAGAACTTGTGTTTTTTTTTTCTTAACGGATAATCATAGACTACTTATAAGTTAATGAACAAATTACCAGGGTAAATGCTAAGAATCTAAAGATTACTTTGTTTTCTTGGCAGCTGTGGACAAATTGAATGTAATTGATGATGATGTGGAGGACATTAAGAAGTCAGAACCCGAGCCTGTTTATATAGATGAGGTAGAGTCCTTCTTTTGTTTAATAGTTAAACTACCAAGACTTTGAAAATATATTACCTTTGAGAATGTATGGAAACAGTGATTTTATATTAACTAAAGTTAAAACTTTTGACTGTTCATTGTCTCCTGTTACTTTTTAGGATAAGATGGATAGAGCCCTGCAGGTGCTCCAGAGTATAGATCCAGCAGATTCAAAACCAGATTCCCAAGAACTGTTGGATTTGGAAGGTACTTAGTATTAGAGACCAATTTAATGCTAGTTAATATTTTAGCTATTCATAATGGCTTGAGTTTCTTCCATTTGGGTTTGCTTTTTGAGATTAGAAGACACTGGTGGGGAGCAGACTAGTACAGTAACATAGAATATCACTTGAAAAGTATCATCATATATGCATATCCTTTTCAAGAAGCAAGTGTTAGTTCAATCCCCGGTACAAAAATAAAAGAAGCAAGTCTTGGTATTTCTGTAAGCCACTAGTGAAACTGGTTGGAGATTTGGACTTCAAAAGCATGTTAGAATTAGAAATAATAGCCTATTAAATTAATAAATCAGAATAAAAGTTCTTACCGTTGTTTGATTCTCTTGTACCATGACTTTTTAATGTCCACTTCATGCATACTGAATGTTAACCTTGTAATGTAATCATTTGATGCATGCTAATAATGCATCAAATGCATGCTAATAATAATTAGTCTGAGAAATTGAAAGCAATTAAAACACATGTGTTTTTGTCTTTTTAACCTTTTGTGAGAAAAATATCTGTGGTAAATGGGTAAATTTTAGTTGTTTTCATACACAAATATCTGGTTATAAATATAGACTAGTGTGCTATTCATTTATCTGTTGTTTATATTTAGAAATTACAAAATGTTTACAATCTCTAATGAAAAATGTTCATATTTAATGTAGACATGGTCACATATTTTATAGTGTGGCTCAAGTTCATTTTACCTAGCTAGTAGTTTTCTAAATTCCTTTTGACTTTAGGATAATTCTAAATAGCATAGTCTGTAAACTTAATAGTTCCAAGGAATATGATGAGAGTTTTAATGTCAGCCTTGTCTTTGGTCACATGGTAGTAACATATAGTAGTATTCAAGCTAAATAGGACATAGGTCCTTAGAGTCTTTTCTTTAGCATAAGCTTAATTTGTTACGAACTACTGGTACTCCATATTGGTGCTTAGTTGTTAAAAATTATTGAAATTGTCTTATACTGAAATTGTTAAATTTTTACATATTTTTATATTTACAGATATCTGCCAACAGATGGGTCCAATGATAGATGAAAAACTTGAGGAGATTGATAGGTGAGCTTTTTTAAAGCAAAAAATAAAAATGCTTATCATAGCTTTACTTGGTCTTTGCAAACTTAGAACTAATACAAGTTGCTGTGGAACTGTATTATCTGTTAAAATTATTTTCCCAGTGTCCTAAACTCATATAAAGTAATAGCAAGTTGGTGGTTTGTTATTTTGGTAGGGGTTTTGTTTTGTTTTGTTTTTATAATGCCAGCATTGTAGTATACATAGCTCATGGACTTTTTTTTTTTTTTTTTTTGTCTTTTTCCTTTTTATCGGTACTGGGGATCGAACTGCCTGCTTGCAAGGCAGGCGCTTATGCCACTCAGCTAAATCCCCAGCCCTGGGCTTTGTTTTTATCACATCATTTTTTCCCCTTGGGCTTGAGTTCAGAGGATAGTGAGTGATGGAGAATAAAATAATGAGACAACAAAATGAAAGTAGGGACCTTAGGCTAGTATTTCTAACTGAATAGTCATTTACAAAATGAAATTTTGCAATTTGGGAAGCCAAATCCAACGTAGCACACTTTCTCTTCTTGTCTCCCCTCTTTGTATTTCTTTGTTTCCCTTTTGATTATTCAGTGTGACTTTGTTGTTTAGAAATAGCAGCAGCACTAGAAGATGAGCTGTATCAACAGTTGTAAGCTTTTAACTTGATTCTTTTTCCAATTCCTCAGAGCTTTCTATCAGTAGTTTAGAGACAGATGCCATTGTGAATGGAAGACAAAGGATAAGGCCTTATTACTCTCTTGTCATCCCTTTCTAGCCTCTGTTTGTCAAACTACTATATAAAAAAGCACAGAGAGAAAGGGATGGGATAGGACCAAAGATTAGAAGGCGAATAAGAGCCCTATTTTCTGCCTCTACTAGAGAAATGCCATAGCAACAAGATTTTTCCAGTCACTAAAGATTATAAGTTTTAGCTCATAGTGCATTTTTCATAAATCATTTGTGTTTTCTATGAAACTTAAAAAGTGAACCCGTGATAGTTACTGAAATATTGATGTCAAATTCATCATATTTTAGAGAAAATAGCAAATATCTAGTTAGACATCTACTACATTATTTCAATGCAAGGATATTGATGGTTACTGAATAATCAAACTGAAAAAGATTGAAAAGAAAATACAGTAAACAGAAAAATGAATAGTAGTACCCTAGTTATGGATAGGAGAATAATTACAAACTTTTCTGAAGCCTAAAAGCAGTGCCTGTCTTTTTTTTAACCCAGCAATTTCAAGCCCATGTAAGTATTTTAGAACACTAAGCAAAGATTTCTCTATTAAGTGTATGACAACAAAATTGAAGTAACAATACATCCACACATACTACACTAGCAATCAGTGCTCTTGATACATACCTCTGACATGTAAAAATGGAATAAATAGGAAAAAAAGGCAGAAGATAAGGCAGTATAATCTTATTTTTGCTGGTTAAAACAATGTCATTAAAGAAAAACATCTATAATTAAAACTCAGAGTGACTTTTTTCTGCTGAGTTAATTTTTTAAATAAGAGCTCGTTTTTCATCAGTTCTCTTACCAGCTTGTTTTTGATTTAAGTCCTCTGGCATTTTCATGGTCACTGATTGCAGATGCAGCTTCCTTTCTGGAAAATAACTTACTGTGCTTTGACAAGTTTTTATTGACTACCCTTTATTGAAATAAGATGAATAAAATTCATTTCTGCTGTTGAATGCGTCATCAAGAGCTTGTTATTTATAAGGGAAACAGCTCTTGTAGACAGCATATGGTTGGATGTTGTTTCTTGATACATTCTGCCAGTCTGTTTCTTTTCATTGTTGAATTGAGACCATTTACATTAATGGTTATAGCTGTTATATATTGGTTTATTGTTGACATGTTATCTTTCTGCTGTTGCATCTTTATTTTTCCATTCTGTTTAATTGTCTGCTTTGCTTAGTGGTTTTTTCCTAAGTGTATCTAAACTGTCTTTCAGTATTCTTTTTGCAAGGTTGGGTTGGTGATCATGAAGTTCTTCCAACTGTTCTTTGTCATGGATGTATCCTATTTCTCAATTTTGAAGGACAGTTTTTCAGGGTACATCAGTCTAGGTTGGAAATCATTTTCCTTTAGGATCTAAAATACTTCACTCCATGCTCTTCTTGACTTTATTGTTTGTGCTGAGAAGTCTGCTGTGATTCTGATAGGTTTTCCTTTATTGGTGATCTGTCTTTTCTCTGACAGCTTTTAATATTCTATTCTTAAGTTGGATTTCTGGGATGATGATTATTATATGTCTGGGTGTAGTTTTGGTTATGGCTATTTGGAATTCTATTATGCTTCACTGATCTTGATGTCAGTTTCCAATCTCATGTTTGGGAAATTTTCAGCTATTCTCTAAATATCCTCTTGATATCCTTTGTGTTGTCCCCTTCTTTTTCATTTATCCCTATCAATCTTACGTTGTTTTTCTTTGCATCATCTTACAGCTGTTGAATTGTTATTTCCTGATTCCTTGTTATTTTTAAAAAATCTTTCCTTTCCTGTTCACTAGCTGCAATCTTGTCTTCGAGGTCTGAAATTCTATCTTCACTTTTGTTGAGGCAGTTTTGACAACTTTTAATGGTGTTTTTGATTTCCTGTATATCTCTTTGAATCTGCTTCATGTATTGTTTGTTTCTTATATTGTTCATCCAGGGATTCTATCTTTTTGTTTTGTTCCTCTAATTTTTTAACTGTGTCTTCTTTAGATGTGTTCAGCATCTCTTTCATTTCTTTTATCATTTCTTCTTTTACCTGGGAGATTATTTCTAGTTTGAATTCCTTTAAAGCTTCCCGGAGTTGCTTATTTATTTTAGTTGCTATTATTTCAGGTATATGGCATATATTTTCTTCTATGTACATAGCTCCTAAGGTTTCTTGGGATGGGCTGGAGGTTTGAGATTGTATTGTGGTCTTTTGTTTTGTCATTTTCCTATATTTCTGTGTTTCAAGTGTTGTTCCAAGGCTTCCCCTGGGCCTGTTGGGAATCATCTTCTATGCCTTCAGCTCCTGGGACTCTGGCAGCCCAGTTCCCCAGATTGAGAGAGGGTCACGGGGGGTGGGGCAGGCTGGCGGAGCCGGTTGAGTGTGGCAGGAAGCTGGGAAGTTCCTTGGCTCGAGATGGTGTGGGGACACTCACCTTTGGCTGCCCAGTTTCTAGAATTGAGGGCACAGGCAGGTGCAGGACCCCCGGAGCTGGCCCAGTGCAGCAGGAAGCTGGGAAGTTGGCACAGGCAGGCCCAACACCTGCAGAGTCAGTCCAATGTAGCAGGAAACTGGGAAATTCCTTGACCTGTGCGATGTACTCAAACTCCCAGGGCTTAGGCTGGTACGTGGACACTCACCTCCGGCCGCCCAGTTCCCAGGATTGAGAGAGGGTCACTGTGGGTGAAGCAAGCAGGTGCAACACCTCCGGCTGCCCAGTTTCCAGAATTGAGGGCACAGGCAGGCGCAAGACCTCCCAGAGCCGCAAGGAAAACAGCTCTACTGTCAGAAAACTAAATTTCTATTTCACTTTAGTCTGTCATTGTACAAAATACCATTTTGAAGCATTTATCACATTAAGAAATTATATTAGCTAAACACGTAAATTGATTGCAAAAACATTCAGATAGGTTTATTGAAGGGAAATCCATTGTCTGAACCTCACAGAGTTCCAGATTGTTCTAATTTGACTTCTTGCTATTCTCCAAAAAATTTTTACCACCCTAATAAAGATCCTTTCTTCATCCTTCCCTGTGTACCCTGCATGTTCCTTTTGCCTGCATTTATTCACACTCTTCCGCTGACTGGACACTGGCTTCCTTTTCAGCTTGCCCTGTCCATCCTCTGAAAGGGCCAGCCTAAGTCCAGCTTTGCCTTTTCAGTTTAGCATAGCCTAAATTAATTTTTCTAAATTCTTTTGCTCTCTCCTACTCCAATAATGTTGAATTCAGTTGAAGGTTATATTAATGTGCTTTCCCTCATGTTCTTAGCCTTGTCTCCCCAATAGATTGGGATTTCTTTGAAGGAAGAAATCATACTTTCTGCTTGCGTTTCCTCTAGTATAATTTCACACATATTTCAATAAAAATTTGTTACTGCTTAGAGGTGTGTCTCACATCTTTAAATGCAATGATGGCGTACAATGATTATGGCTTCTACTATATTCTATTGGTATTTCATCAGCATACTGGGTTATCTGTACCAAATTCTTCTGATTCTTAGTTACACATTTGTTAGCATGTACACTTAATTTCTGTAGCTTTGGGTGGTTTGCCACCAATATTTCCAAAAATAGTTTGATCAGCTTTTTTATAATTATTCATGTAAGAGAGAGAACAAACACTTTTTAAATTCAGACATAACAGATTGTTTTTATCTGGTACTAGGAATCAAACTCAGTACCTTTGCATGCCAGGCAGGCACTTGTGCTGCTGAGCTATAGCCCTGGCCCAGCAGATTCAAAGAGAGAAAAGGCAAAAGGGTTTTATAGGAGTTAATCTGTGTTTTTACTTAGTAGGCCTTTGTTTGCCTGCTTCTTCCCTGTATTTATATAGAAATGATCATCTAATAAACAAGCTTGTGGATGCTTTGGGGCAGTTGAGAAATGGCCATTTTTTATAAAATTGTCAATTGCAGAAATAGTTGCTGATTACTCTCAGGGGAACAGATAAAATTGTACCAACTTAATACAAGCTTGTACAAGCTCTTCAGTTTCTATGGCAGATATGAAAATACCATTTGGGCAAATAAAGTACTTGGTTTGACTTTCTCAAAATCAAGAAACCAGCGAAAAAGAACTGTAGAGATCAGCATATGTATACATTTTTGCTTGTATTTTTGAAGATGACTTTTGAAATTTAAGCAAAAATGCGTAATTTTTTAATGACTACTTTTATTTTAGTCATATTTCACAGAGGCTGTGGACCTTACCTAAATATTCCTTTTACTGAGATTTATAATTAGTTCTGGGACTCCTACCTAAATTGAGAAACTTCTTTTTCTTTTCTTGCCTGATTAAAGAGAAACTTACTTTTCTGTATAATTGATTTTTTGAGTAGAAGCCTATAATAATTAAACTTAATTTTCCTAACACCAAAATTATGAATTGATTGCTTTTTATCAATTAAGTCTTATCAACCTAGCTAGTAAAGAATTAATTTCTCCTCCCTGTTTCCTTTCGAATATTTTCACTGTGTATAAAAGAACTTTTTAGATTATGAGTAGGAAATGTGCTAAATTTGAAAAATAATTTACATTGCTAAGTGCACACTTAAGAAGTTAGAAAAAGTATGGAAATGTTTTTTTTTTTTACATCAGGAAGCATTCAGAATTATCTGAATTGAATGTAAAAGTCTTGGAAGCGCTGGAACTATATAACAAATTGGTGAACGAAACACCGGTATATTCAGTCTACTCAAAACTCCATCCTTCAGCACATTATCCATCTCCATCAGCCGGGGTTCCTCTGCAGGTGAGCCTGTGTTTTTAAAACACTTTTCAAAATTATAGTTTTAATTTTTAAGAAAATGTTTTAAAGCATAGTATTAATTTCTGTGGTCTGTGAATAAAATTATAAAACACGTCTTTGATAGTTTCAAGAAATACAAGTTAAGCAATTAATTTGACCAGAACAAACTAAGGATTCATATTGTAGAAATACATTTTGTTCAGTTTTAACATGAAAAGACCATGAAACATAGGAAATTTATCGGGTCCTGACTTAGATTCCCAATTCCCAAACAAGTATACGGCGAACGCTTAAATAAAATGAGACAAGTAGAATGATTTTAGGGCTCCACTAGGGTCAAAACCCTTTAGCTGAGTTCAAGAGTCTGAAGGCTAACACAAAGACTTCTCTGAACCACCCATATTTATTAGGTCCAAAACAAAGGGCCGGAGAAACTTGAGGAAAGAGTGGGAAATGAGCAAGACCTTGGGAGTCACTTCAAAGACTTCTCCAAGTCGTAAATAATGCCAATTTAGGAGAACTGTCTTATCTCCAGGAAGACATTTGAAGTGTGATTGCAGGAGTGAGATTCCTTCAGCTGCAATCTCTATTTGCGTAATTAGTGTTGGAGCCAAGGTGTCCTCAGCTGTGGTCTTACCTTGCCCTCTGAGGTATCTCTGGCCTCACAGGCCACTATAGGCCTCAGCCAGGACCAGTGATCCATAAAGGTTCACTTACTATGAATCAGCTCCCATCAACGGTCAAGGGGCCGAGGCCTGGGTCAGACTCACAGAGAAACAGAAAGCCAATTAGTTAATTTTATATCCTGCTCAGAGCTGCTTCGTAGTGCTCTCCAACGGAAATTCTGAGTTTTTTATATGCTTCTGTAATCATAAAGCATCAATCTTTATGCAAATATAAATCCTCTTTTTAAGTATAAAATACAAACCCTGTCATTTAGGATCTCTTGTATCAAGTGCCTCTTGAGTAAAGTATGATGCTATTCCTGTTCTTCACAAAGATTAAACATTTCTTGGAAAATCTTTTTCAAGATTTGTTTGACTTGTATTATTATTAAAAGGCTTGGTTGATGAACTTAACTTTGTTTTCAGAACATGTATAATATTTTCTTATATTTTTAAAGATTTGTGTTTAATGAAGATATAATATGGACCTGTGAGGTGCAGATGTGATAAACCATCCATAATTGGCATCTTTTCCCAGTACTTTTATCTTTTTTGTGCTTGCCAGCTGATGTGAATATCTGCATCCCCATTTTAAAGCCTTTTCCAAGTTTTAGCCAATTTACAAACTCAGAATGAACTTTAAGCAAAATTTCTATCAACTTATAACATCTATGTAGTATGTAAAAAGAGTGTGAAGAAGGCATCAGGAAGAAAAGGCAGGATGTAGGTACATAAATCAGATGGGATAATTATTAAGTTAAAAAAAGGTTACTTTGTTTGCTCACATAAGACCTGGGAATTTAGCTCAGTGGCATAAGCACCTGCCTGGCAAGCGTGAGGTCATGAGTTCAATCCCTGGTACCCCCCACTCAAAAGACAAGATACATTTATCAAATATTTCATGACCAAAACTTCTTGAAAATTACATAGGAAGGAGGATTTATTGATGGGAAAATGCTAGAGTTTATTTAGTATTGCTTCTGGTATCAAAGCTGCTTATTTCTGCTGTGAAAATGGAATAAAATAGAGTATTGCCTTGGTTCATGAATGCTTTTGTTTGCAAACAGTCTGGTTCACAAACAAGAGTTGAGCAAAATTTTCTTCTATTTGCGAACTCTGCATCAGGTGATAGATACAACTACAGCCATCTTCCCCACACAAACACAGCCATCTTCCCCAAAATTGTAAAACAAAGTTTGTAAACCAGGGTACCACAATAGATGTTTCTGTGTCATTGTATGCTAGGATGGCACATTTGCATCTTTGTGCTTGTAAAGGCTTGTCATTCCTGTGTCAAGTTTTAGTGTTTAGTTGCATCCTGTTTCTAAATCTATTGTGCCAGACACATCTGTCTGTCTGCCTGACTACCTGCCTGTCTGTCTCTTTCTTTTTTCGGTGGTAGTGATGGTGGTGCTGGGCATTGAACCCAAAGCAAGTTTCAATTTGGGAATCCTTCTGTCTCAGCCTCCCAGGTTTGCCACTATGCTTAGCTAACCAGAGCTAGTTTCTTCAAAGTTACTTTTCTATCAGTAAGATTCCTCACATAACTTCTATCTACACTTTTCACATGGAAAGAATACTTGAAGTAGCACAGGTGTAATTACAGCTCCCTGGGAGCCTGAGGCAGGGATATCACAAATTTAAATCTATTGTGGGCAATTTAGTGAGACCCTGTCTCAAAAAATAAAAAGAAATGGGCTGCTCAGATAGCTCTGTGAAGTTTCTATTCTAATTTGAAAAATAGCTGTACTAGATGCAGGTAAAGTAACATCCATTTTGGTACAAGGCCATTCAGAACCCTAATTGCAGAACAGGTCTACTCCCGAAGTGTCTACTGCTTGTCAGTGAATTGTTTCATGTCTATCATGGAGTTTATGTGAGTGCACCTAATGTAGTTTATTTGGCAGATCAGTATTCTGAATCTTCACATGAATGATCTTTGCTTTAAACATAGCTTTTATATTTATGAAACACATGCATTCATTTTCAATGCTGTGTAAGTAGACAGATTCTATTTTTAAAGAGCTATTACTAGGCAAATTAAATAGGGCACAGATAAATATCCAGTGACGGAGGCCATTTCTTTTTTTTACTCCCAAGGGTTATCTCATCCCCAACTCACAGCTCTTTCCCTTTGCCTGTCTGTTTTGAAGGTAGGAGATATAGTACACATGGCCGTCGGGGACCTGTCATCTTGATATCATGTCTTTTCCAACATTTTCTCCTATAGGAAAGAGTTGAGAGAGTAAAGTTGGAGATCTAAAGTGCTGATGGGCTTCCCTTTAGGGGAGTGCTCTGTAACTTCATGGCAAGACACATTTCTGAGAAATTGGCAGTGTAGATAGATTGCAACTTATTATCTAAAAATACACCATCCCTCTCTCTCTCCTTTTCCAATCTCCTGCAAAATATAAGAACAACCAACCAAATCATAGATTTCATATACAATATTTAGCACTGTAATATGTAAAGTCTCCACATTTTGCTCTAGGATGGATAGTTTGGTGGAATCAGATTGCTCCCCAAAGAACTATAACATTGTGTTTTTAGAGTCTGATAAAGTTTTAGATATGCTAGGTAGGTGTTGAGAGAGAAGTGAATCAACTTTTTCTTTTTGGTTATTAGACATATCCAATTCAATCACATGGTGGAAACTACATGGGCCAAAGTCTTCACCAAGTAACCGCTGCCCAGAGCTATAGCCTAGGACCAGATCATATTAGCCCACTGCAATCTCTGCCTCCAAACATGAATGCCTCGTTAACAACACAGCCTGCTCAAACTCCATATTTAAGGTAAGTTTTGGGGAGCTATGTTTATTTTCCATAAACTTTGAAAATATATAGATCTTTCTTTTTGTAGTAATATTCCAGATTTTTATTCTTAAAATGAAATTATAGAAATGCTTGTTCTTCACTTCTCCACTGTTGGTGAGAGTGTAGACTGGTGCAGCTACTCTGGAAATCAGTATGGAGGTTCCTCAAAAAACTAGGATTGGAAGTTCCATTCAAGTCAGCTATTCCCTTCCTGGGTATTTTCCCCCCCAAAATTGAAAAAATCATGTCACAGTGATATATGTGCACCCATGTTTGTAGCAGCACAATTTGTAATAGCTAAATCTTGGAAACAATGCCCATCAACTGCAGAATGGATGAAAAACATGTATTTGTATACAATGGAATATCACTCATCTGTAAAAAGGATGATCTTGGGGCTTTTATAGGTAAATGGAGGCAACTTGAGACTATTCTCATAAGTGAAATAAATCAGACTCACATTTATAAGTATTGTATTGTCTCTAGTGTAGAAATTAAATAATAATAACACTGAAAGAGTAATAAGATCCAAAATGTATAGTAGATATGGTAATAATGAAAGGGAAAGAAAGTGCTCTAAGGGAAAGAACAACTTGTAGGTATACTCATATAATGTATATGTAAGTGTGCAATATAGATAACCATGCTACTAAGTTTTTGATAGTTCATCAAACAGAATAATTTGTGCTGTCTTTGTCCATTTTTTGTACTTTGATTTTGTAATTTGAAAAATGACTTCTCAGATAACAATATGTAATATATCAACTATTGATGATTTCTTAATGTTATTTTTTTGAAAATCTGTATCATTTCTACCCTTTTTTGTTTTGCTTTTTTTAATAAATAAAAAAAAAAAAGAAAAAAAATGCTTGTTCTTAAAGTGAAATAGGGATGTCATTGGCTTTGCTACCCATGCTGTGACAGTTGCTCACATTTAAGCCTACAGTTTAGTGCCTTGGTATAAAATAAAGCTAATTGTCTTTTATGGAGACTAAGCCCAAGACATGTTTAGCCAGTGCTATAATCAACATAGACACAGTGCTATAATCTGCATGCACTCCTATTAGAAACCTGTTGTCACCTTGACTCTTAAAAGGAAGCATGTTTGAGCTGTGGAACTTTTTACATGAACAGTTCTCTAGGAATCTCACTTTTAAATATTGTCTTCTATTCACTTTCACCATAGAAAATGCTTATTCAATATAATCATGTATACATAATTTCTAAGGTCCCTTTCCACTCCTAAATTCCATGAGTATGAGTTTAGACATTACTTAAAAATTAAAGAAATCTGTTTGTTTTGGTGTTAAGCTTAAATAAAACTTTATATTGGTATTTAACTATAAAATGTGGTTACATTGAGTAACATTAGAGGTAATAGAGAAAAATATCCTTCTATATTACAGTGTATTTAGTGTAACTTAAAATTAAATACATTTTAAAAGTATACCATAGTACATTTAGAAAAAAACAGAAATCCTGCTGTTTATGGAGATTTTCCAGCTTGATTTGATGTGTTAGTAGTAATAGTGAAAAATGTGAATTAGTTGTCTGTACTACTTTGGATAGATTCTGGGTCCTGTGCAGATTACAGTTCTGTCTTTGAAGTGAAAAGTCCCTAACAAAGGAAATATGAAGAGAAAATACTGGGTCAGGAGGTGAGAAGGAACAATGTGGCCTGAAACATGCATCTGGAGCCATGGCTCCATTCTCACTGGACCTAGACACAGCGACCACAGGCAAAAGCAGTGTGTACATCCTTAAATTTTTAATGTTGTTGGTGAAAGAGTCTGTGGAAAGCAGATTAAACAGACTTCGTAATCTTACATTGTACATTCTTCTGATGAAATGTAAAATTACACTTACGGTTCTTGATACCTGGAATGATTAAATCAGAGTTGCAGAACTGTACAGACTTGAAAAAGGTGTTTTTTGTCATGATGATTGATCTCTGACCATAATCTAGATAATACAAAGTAAATGTGATTTTTTTTCTCTTTAAAATTTTGTTTGTAGCACCGGACAAGACACTGTTTCCAACCCTTACATGAACCAGAACTCTAACCTTCCATCAGCTACTGGTACGGCTGCTTACACACAGCAGATGGGGATATCTGTGGAGGTGTCAACTTACCAGAACACTGCTTGTGGTTTACCACAACTGGCGGGCTTTCCGGTGGCAGTTCCGGCTCACTCTGTTGCACAGCAACAAACAAATTACCATCAGCAGCCTCTCCTTTAGAGACACAGCGTTTTCTTGAAAGCCTTCATAATTGTGTCTGGAAATACTGAAACTTTTTTCCTTTCAACTCAGAAGGACCATGAGTAAATAAAGCACAAAACCTGACTTACTCTAAAGGCCATAAAAGGGTTGTTTTCTTTTTTTTAAGTCCAGCGTGTTTGAAGTTGATCAGAGACAGCTTAAGGGTACTTCCAGGTGATTTTCTTGTTCTTTCAACTGTCTACATAAATCTGGACACCCAGTAAATAGCCTTATAACACTAAACAGTATGGGATAGGAGTGTTAAAGTTTTACTTTAAAGAAACCATTGTTTTCCCCTACTATGTTGTGATAAGAGCACCAGAGACCTTTAAATACTTTTGTCTGCATATTTTTGTCAAGATTTCCTACACACTGTTGTTTTAAAAGGCAAACGTCTTTTTGTATGAGCGTTTAGCTTGCCAAAGTATTCCTTTTGGTTCTTAAAATTGCAGTTGTGTTTGCAGTACTGTCAGTTTTTCTGTCAGTGTTATGTTGAGTAACAATTAGCATATAATTGTCTACAGAAGCAAGAGCAATTTGGAAGGAACAAAAATGTTTTCTCTTATTAACAGTGAAAACCATGTAAATGTAGATATGTGGTAAAGCATTTAACCTGTGTCCTGAACAGTCATGGCAACAGTGGACCAAGAAATACTCAGAAACATTTCCAATCCCATGGAAAATTATTTCCTGCAAGGATCCTCGGTATTGGGAATTAGCACTAACGACCTTTTCAAGTGACTTTGGCCACTGTGTAATGAGGATACGGTCCATTTGTTTTCCTTCCTGCAGTGTATTATGTAGAGCTGCTATATTTCCTTTTTAAGGATTATATGAGACATTCCTAATAATTTGATGTGATATAAACCAAGCATGATGATAAATGTGTTTTTATTAATGTGTGTTTTTTTAAAAGAAATGGTTCTGATTCCATTGCTAAGCTGTCATCATGCTAAGCTGTCGAAAAATTGTTTTCATTCATTTCAGAAGTAATTCCAAGCCACTGGAATTCTACATACTGTAAGAACTGGTAGTAAATCAATATGGACTGTTTTATATTGAAGGAATTTGCACAATACAAAATAGAAAATGCAGATATATATGGTTACAGATACATGTTACTTAGATTGCAGAAATACTGGACATAAGTTTAATTTTTAAAAAATTAAAACTTTTTGCATGGATGCAAAATTTCTATTTTTTTTAAAGCACTTAATCTTTCTACAGAATCCATTTGAAGACAATGGAAATTTTCTCATTATCTGTTTACAGAAAATTTATTACAACAGTGTCCCTTTTTCAGACAAACTTTATCCAGGACAAAATTTGAAAGCATAGTGTCTGTCATTATCTTGTTTCTGATACAAGTATTGCAAATTTTAACCTTTAATAATTTGTGGTCTGTTTATCATCCAGTATTTTCCTTACAGATAAATTCAGTTATATACTTTAAAAACTCTGTTCTTAAAAAAACAAAAAAGAAAAGAAAAAAATGATTAAAAATTCCAAAGCCGCTCTTGATATTTGCATCCACATGCAATATCTTACATTTTCTTCCAAACTTCATCTAGTAAGTGTATTTTAATATTTGCATAAATGTGTTTTGTCATCTAAATTGTAGTTCAGCATAAATCCTTGAGCCAGTATAAATACTGCATATTCATTAAACTGGGATCAGCCAATTAAACTCAAGTAACATAATTTTGGAATAATAAAATGTGATACGTAAAGTGTGTATATTGCCATTTATCTGTGAAATTTTATACATGCAGAAGTTTCCTCCTCTTAAAAATATTTTTTTTTTGCCATTTGTAAGGAATTTGTGTTAGAGATTATTGCTAGTATAAAAACGATACTAAATCTTTGTCAATCTGATGTTTTTAGTGTTAAGAAATATAAGACTGTTTTTTTCCATGATCTTATGAATTGTATTTATTTTAAGATGTTTATATTTACATATTTTCTGCCAAAGGAATGGTCTAATTTAAGATATCTATGTTGGAGTCATACTGTTCTGTATCAAAGTTTTTTTAAAAAATAACTTCTGTTTCTTTTTGTGTGTATTAGAATTCCTGAAAATTTATAATAGAATTAATTTCATATGGAAAGTACCCCTGGATGTTAAAATATATGAACTGGAATATGTTTATATTGTTTGAAAAATGTGCAGCCAGCCATTATTGTCTTTTTGGTAATTTATTGACAAAATTATTTGATCATTAATTAATTGAAATATTTGTCATTTAGGATTTGAAAATATTTGCAGATATGTTGTCATCTTACACTGTTTCAAGTACTAATATTTAACTGTGTAACAAATTTTACTATACATTGAAGAGAGTTACAAAATTTCACCTTCTGAATTTTAAAAATTTGTGAATGTTTAAAAAAATACATGATTGAGCTGGTGATATAGCTCAGTGGTAGCGGTAGAGCATGTGCTTTTAGCATGCTTAAGGCTGTAGATATGAGTCCCAGCTCTGCAAAAACTGTATGTGGCTTAGGAAGTACAACGAAACCTTTTCTTAGTAAAAACCATGATGTTAATGCTCCTGAGTTCTAGGAAAAGATTTATTGATTTGTCATTATGATGAGAATGCTGAAGTTATTTTTTAAAGTAATAAATCATAAATAATAGCACTGACTTATGATTTGTTTCTGTCAAAAGGGAGTTTTCTTTACTTACATCAGGTTTAGTCAGTAAAAGAGAAGAATGAATGTGATGTTTTTGCTGTTTGATTTAGTTTTCTTTTGAGGATCAGATTTTTAAAAATTTTCCCCAACTGAGAAGTAATTCTAATTTTATCAAATTAAGTTTGAATTTGAGAGATTTTTTTCAACCTTGCTGATTCTAAAAGAAAAATTATGTTGTTTGCATGGAATAGTAAGCTGAATAACACCCCCCCCCCATTCGTGTACACCTAGATACCAGAGTGACCCCTAGAATGTCAAAGTGTTACTTTATTTGGGAGTAGAGTCTTCGGACATAATAGAAATCACGCTGGATTTAAGGGTGGGGTCAGAATCCCAGATCGGCACCCTTATGTGAAGAAAAGACACTGTGATACAGCGAGCAAGGTCACGTGAAGGCAGAGGCAGAAGCTGGAGCACAGGCTGCCTGGACCACCAGGAGTTGGAAGAGGAGAGTGGTTCTTCCCCAGAGCCTGCAGAGGAATTACAGCCTGCTAACCCTTCAGTTTCAGAATTCTAGCTCCAGAACTGAGAGAAAATAAATTTCTTGTCTTTTTAAGCCTCAAAGTGTGTGGTACTTTATTACAGTAGGAAATTTTCTAGTACACTAGGAAACTAATAAACACAAGTATACAGTAAATTCTTAGTACTAAGACCTTGGAACTTTAATAAGATTGCTTCAGACTGGTGCAGGAGTTCTGAGAAACATGTCTGTAGTCCAGTAGCAGTGTTTTTTATCCTGTCTAAACTATGGCACCTCATGGATAGATGAAACAAAGATCCCTGTTAATCCCCAATTCCCATTTTCTGATTTTTAAATCTCATCTACATTTCAGTAATTTTTATGCTAAAGTTGTGCTCAATTTACAAGTCTATAATGTTTTGCATTTTCTGTTCACTCTTGCCCACCTTGAAGGGTAACTAATGAAGGGGAGATGTTCAAAGGCAAACAGAAGAAACAAAAAAGCAGAGTGGACGTTCCCCACAAAAGCTACTGAAAAACGGAGGTTTTGCTTTTGTTCTTATTTTACGGTAACGGGGGAAATTAAAGGTAAGGTTTGGTTCTAAAGTGGTAATGTTACCCTCAGCTAATCACGTGTACCATACAAGCCACGATCAAAGTATTTGGGGACTGTTTTAAAAATTATTATAGTAAGAGAAATGTTACTATTAATGCCCTCAACATAGTTCCCCTGGCTTCAGAAACACCATTCTTAGCACTTTGTGAAGCAGTCCTCTTTTTGGGTGTTTATAAGGTGGGATCAAAAATCTAGTGAACGCTGCTGAGTGTTATCCAGTGGAAAAGCAAGCTCTTAAAAACATTAGGGTAAGAACCAGGGATTTAGCTCAGCAGCATATGTGCCTGCCTGGCAAGCATGCAGTCCCCAGGACCAAAAAAAAAAAAAAAGGATGTGTCCTCATCCACCTCCTTCCCCAGATATGCTACCATGTGACCAGTTTTCTTCAGACCATGAAAGATGAACGTACTAGATCAATACAGGACAGTGAGGCAGCCATGACAGCATAACTAATGACACTAATGAGAGGGAACTTCCAGAATCCCTGAGAAAATAGCAGCAGTGTTGGGGTACATGTAATCCAATTGGGGGAGAGTAATGGCGATGTGACTAGAGATTACAAATTACCATTGTTTTTGATTAGAACTTGTAAAGGAGAGACAATGGACAGATAGGCATGAGGAGATGACCCATGCAGAGCTAAACATTCATTAACAGAGAAATGCAAATCTGTCATATTTGTCCTGTAAGCAATTTGAGAAACTGTAAAGTACGTGGACTAAATAGAAAAATGAGACAATGCTTTAGCTACAAAAATTCTTATGATTCCTTCCTGGGAAGCCCTTCTCAGGGATTTTCATCCACCCATCATTGATTACAATTGTGTCAAATTATGTTGAACTATATCTGCAACTGAGTCTGCAAAAGTGATTGTTCTGCTTTCCCTACAGAGAAGGTGAAGGAGGACTGGGGTAAAATGTAAAAGGAGCCACAGAGACAGACCTGTCCAAATGTGTCTGCAATCTGATGTTACTATTTGTGTGCCTGGTTAGTACATTTGAAGGTGAATTAGTCTGTTACAATCCCATGGTCAAATACACTAAGAGGGTCTAGTACGGGCATAGCACAGTTTTTTAATCGAAGCTAGAATTAATACGTTAACATCTGACTGACTGCAACTAGGATACCTTTATCTCTCTCTCTTTTTTTTAATACCCAGACCCAAAAAGGGCCCTGGAAATGGACATAGGAATTAAAACTTAAAACTGCTCCTTGACTCTTCTATTTGACAAGATCAGGTGCCATTCAGGTTAATATGGCCATAGATTTCTATGAGACAGATTTAAAAAAAAAATTTGTTAATGCTCAAGTGTTACTAAAGCTACTCCGACTTTGAATTTGCAAAGCTGAGTAATACTTTCAAATTCATTATGCACAAACTAGCTGTGTAACACATGAAACATTTTGTTTTAACTTTAAAACTATTGCTGATATACATTGTCATTGAATTCTCTTAAATCCATTGAAGTAGAGGAAGAAAGAGGTTCAGTAACTTTCACAAGGACATAGTAAGTAGCAAAACTTTGATTATAAATGAGGTTCTATTTGTTGTTAATGCACATGCTTGTTGAAATTACTATTACCTAGAAATAATGAACACATTAATTTTGGATCTTTGTACCTTTGTGATAATGGATGAGCTCCCAAATAGAATATGTGGATATAAAATGCCTTTAGATGTGAGAGTGTCAATGCAGGGAAGAGCATAATAGTGGATGGGGTTTTGTTTTTCTTTTTTATAGGTGGGGTGGGAACAGAATTGGGAATTGAACCCAGGGCCTTGCTATGCAAGTGCTCTACCAGTGAGCTACAGCCTCAGAGCTTTCTCAGGTTTTAGAAGTGCCATTCTCCACTTTGTCAGAAGGACGTGCTATCCCTCCTCCCCCTGCTGAGGATTGAATCAGAGCCTTGTGCATGCTAGGCAAGCTCTATACCACTGAGCTACACTCAGCCAGCCCAAGGGCACTTGTCAATGCTGAGCTCAGTGACCTGGTTGAGGATAGTATTTGTCACATTTTCCACTTCTTCCTTCCCATATTGTACTCCATGGAAGGAAGTTACAGTGCATGCTCCATGTTTGCAGGGTGGGGAGTATGCTTTGCATCCTTGAGGATAACATGCATAAATTACTTGAAATTCTGTATTTAAAGTTTATCTCTTTTTTCTTGAACCATTTTATCACTATGGACTTATTTTAGAATTTGACTTACATATCAGTACCAGTTTATTACTCAGGTTGCTCCAGCAGTAGCCATTGAACGCTTTTTCAATTTGTTCCCATGTCTCTTTGACATAACCTCATCATTACAGTTTTATTTTTTGAGATTTTGTTTCTAAAGTACTTCTTTACTTTCCGGTACCATAAGATGCTCCCAGTTCATTTCATGTATTTCTTGCCCTGGTGCTAAAATCAGTCATTTTTCTAAGATGCTCTTTCTTTTTTTTTTTACATTTTTAAAAATCTTTTTATCAGTACCGGGGGTCAAACTCACGACCGCCTGCTTGCAAGGCAGGTGCTTATGCCGCTGAGCTAAGTCCCCCAAGATGCTCTTTCTTTCTCTTCCTCTCTCTCTCTTTCTCTCTCTCTCTCTCTCTCTCTCTTTCTCTCTTTCTCTCTCCCTCCCCCCCTCTCTGTAAGAGGATAGAAGTACAGAATTAGAAACCAGAGTTTTGGTGCCAGGTATGTTTGTTGCTATTGTCATTGCTTCTAGGCTCTCAGCTGAAAGTAAAGAAATTGTGTATATATACTAATATTTCTGTATATAACCATCAGTACCAAGAGTAAGTTACACCTGAGTTCACAGAGGTATCTCTGACTAATCCATTACCACATGGCTCATTCCAGCCTTCTCGCTTTGCTTCTGTGATTTTCTACTATAACAGTAGACAATCTTACCCCATTGTCTGCTATCCATGGTAGTTGGTCACTTCCAGAGTGTGTTAGGAGCAGAATCATTAATCCGTACCGCTTAGAAACACCTTTACCAGTTGCAGTAGCATTTATGCAGTTCTTTTTTACTTTAGCCTCACAGGTACTGCTTATTTTTTTTTCTTTTGCACATTTAGAACTTTTATTTCAAAACAAAGAACCACAGTAACATTAATAGAAAATTCATGTGGAAATATTTACAACCTTGTCACCCAGAAATGGGAACAACTCTACCCTGCATTACCACCAAGGGACTGCAGAGGCAGAAGAGATGCAGTTTGAGGAAAGCCACCTTCCGCAGCCAAGCCTTGCTTCCTAGCTATGGTGCTTATCCAAAGGCCCGGTGAACTGCGGGAATGGTGGGAACCAAGAAATGGAACACCATTGTCTGCTCAGAGGGTCTGAAATGTGTGAGCACCAAGGAGGGGAGGGAGCTGAGTGGTCTGCAAGCAGGAGAGGGAAAGGGATAAGAGGGCTGGGGGACGAGAGGATTGCAGATGCGGTGGCCTCAAGCAGCAGTCAACCTGCTGTCCCCTGACTGTCTAACCCCCTCCAATTGGAGGTAAGTCTTCATTTTCTTCTTGTTCCCCTGAAAGGTTACCACCTCCTCTCCCTTCAGACCCCCAGAGCCACCTGGCTGACCTGCTTCCCTTCTCCCTCCACCTTGTCTCAGGAGGCTGCTCCCTCCTGCAGGGAAGGATAACAGATGAGTCTGAAGCAAAAGTTCTGGGAGCAAATGCCACCCAGCAGAAGCAGTGTTGCTGTTACACATAGAGATAGGTTTTTAATACAGTCTACCCAAAAGGCCACAACAGCAACACAGGAGGTGCCACTCATTTCTGAAATTACTTAGGTCAGCACTCTTCCTTCATGCCCTTCAGGAATGTTTCATATTGCTGTATTTGTAATATATATATATATATATATATATATATATATATATATAAAATCGCACTCTGCATTAAATCCTGAAACATCCCACTTTCCTAAATGATTTTATAAAATTTGCACATTCTGTAGTGCCAGCACCAGGTAGGCTGAGGTAGGAACATGTTGTAGTCGGGGGTTGTAAACAGAACAATCAGGATCAAGACATGGAGTTTATAATATTTTTATAATGGTCACTGGGAGTTAACACAGGAAAAAGGAGGAAATATAGCCGCAACACCCAAGACATAGATTATTTAGTCAAAAGCCTAAACCCCACAGCAATGTCCCACATGAGTCCAGATAAAAACCCAGAGCTCAGGACGATGTCTCCCACAGGTCCAACAGAGGTCCAGAGCCCACAAGAAGGACTCACACCAGTCTCTTACAGATCCGTACCAGGAAGACCCCAGGCTCAGCAATGGAAGCCTGAAAGTCTATGCCTGCAGGATGAAGGAGCTGTGCTAGTGGGATGAGGGTTCTATGCTGGAGCCGAGAAGTTACACTCCCAACAAAGAGCGGGGCTGTCCTGAAAGGCACCACAGCTGTCCTCAGCGATCTGGAGGCCCCCCGAGCTCCTCTGATGACAAGCACAGTCGGGTACGTGCCAGGAAGCAGCATGATGAGTTCATCCTGGAGACCAGGCGGCACACGTCTTCTCCTCCAGAGCCAGGAAGCAATGCTCGATGTGAGGACCAAATCTTCTCCAGGAGAACCAACAGCTCAGACAGCAATTCATAGAAGAATCCACAAGGCCTCCTTAATGCCTCAACCTCCACATCTCCCTTCTTCTCCACCTATTTATCCTGGCAACTTTCCTCAGGTGGAGCATCTTCGTTCAATGCATGCTGATGTAATCCAGCTGGCATTAAGTTGACCACCAGTTCTCAATCTGTAACAGAACATCACACAAGACTAGCCTCAGCAACACTGAAAGACTCCCAAGGAAAAAGTTAAATGAGTAAAAAATTTACACACATTAAGATATTCTTCATTCTGTAAAGTTTAGTAAGGTTTGGGGGGGGTACATATTGTCAATTATTCACCATTATAGTATCATACAGAATAGTTTACTCACCCTGAAAAATCCCTCTGCTTTGTCTACCTTTTCATGTCTACTGTTTACTGCAGAACCAATGCTCAGTTTATACTTATAACTTTGCCTTTCCTGGAATCTCATGTAAATGTAGTCATATAACATATAGCCTCAGGCTGGCTTGTCTTTTTTTTTTCTTTTGTACCAGGGATTGAACTCATGACCTCGCACTTACCAGACAGGCACTTATGCCACTGAGCTAAATCACCGGCCCTGCTTCTGCCATTTAGAAAAATGAAATTGATGTTTATGTTTTTTCAGGGCTTGTTAGCTCAAAAGGATTCCATTGGGGGCTGGGGAACCATGACTCAGCACAGGTAAACATGCATGCCCTGCTTACAGCACTATGTAAGAATGTAAACATGAGATAACAACCTATATAAGAATTACACAATAAAGATGTAGGCAGCTCTCTTGTGCTCTTACTCTGGTTCTCTGTTCTGCTACATGTTGCCTATTGTTACTGATGTGTTGCATACCTGTGTTCTTTAAACTTGGGATCTCACCTGTGAAAATCTGGTGTAGTCAATGGGACACTCTGACAAGTGGTTCTGTGTTGGCTGTGGAAACTGCCTAAGTGTAAGGAAAGGCCTGTGGAATGGCTGATAAGCAACCCTAGCCTTGCCATGCGTACCTGTTGCCAAGAAGGTGGCTACAGGTGGGAAGACTAGGAACCAGACTGAGCCTGGGAATGTCTTGCAAGCCTTGGAAGCAAATTCCTCACCCTCACTGTGAAATGGCAGCAGGAGTGGCTTGGCTGTTTTTCACTGTCTTCTGCGTAAATCAAGAGGCCAATAGCCTTGTTCAGGGAGTACAGCAGCTGCAGCAAATAGACAAGGACCTTGAGCAATAGCTGACTGCTGCAGAGCTCATGTTGCAAGGCATGGGAAGCATTGCCTCCTCCAGAAATGTCTCTAGAAATGTAAGTCCTCATATCTGAGAAAATCCCCAAGAAATTTCCCTAGTTTTACGTGCTAGGCTAGCTATTCATCAAAAAGTGGAGTTAGAGGACTCTTGCCCAGGGAAGAAAACTAGGAGGGGTGCCTACCTCTACCTGGCATACAACATACATGACCTATACAGCCATGGAGATTCAGGAGCTGGCAAAACAATTAAAGCAGAAGGTGGGTGAAATAGTACCTGCTTGACTGCTATGGCTTGGGATGGTAGGAATAATAACATGCAATAAGCCCACCAGAGATGTACCAAATAGCATAGCCAGCACCCCTTCTCTGGGTTCTGCAGGATGTGCAGGGACCACCCTAGAAGCAGATAATCAGACTGTAATAAATTGATTGATGGCAGCAGCTCATCTAGTTTGGGACAATCCAGGTGACTTGCTGGAGCAAGTCACAATCTAGACTTGATAATCGTGCTATATGAAATGGGCATGCTGAGAATGATGTTTGCACTGCAGTATCATAGCCCAGATGAGCAAGGTATGAAGGACATAAGGCTGACAAATGGGCTGGCTGGCACATTCGGGTCAGTGGCAGCCCTTCTAGCACCCTTTACAGATCACTTGATCCACAGTGCTATTGATGCCTTGGCCAGGATGGGAGACATGGAAGTAAAGGACCAAGACAAAGTGAGATCTGTAAAAACTACCAACAAAGGAGAAAAAGAAGGGTGCCTCAGGTGAGTGGAGCCGTCTCCCTAATGACAGCATGTGGGGCCACTGCAAGTCGGTTGGTGCCTGATCTAGACTGACCTGCTGGCTGTAGACCTAGCCACACATAAGTCAGATAGGCAGGCTTTGGATGTGTTGCTGACTCTGTGGGGGCAGTTGCACCCTGAGCAGCAATACGGCTGATGGGCCAGGGCCAGAAGACCAAAGCAGCTCTGAGGAAGGACGAAGATATGACACTGACCTCACCCTGATTAGGAGGCAGGCTGAAGTACTTGGGTCTTGGGGGTTCCATGAGACTGGAGGCCCCAAGTGGAACTGACTATTTACTGGTCCCCCCAGAATGTGCAGCATGTCGTGGCATTGGTGCATACCAGAGCTGAATCAATGCTAGTACACAGCAACCCAGATCATTTTACAGGACCCACCACACACATAGAAGGGTACGTAGGTATCACTGTCTGGAAGACCCATGTGACTTTGGTTATCAGGCACTTGACCGCACACCTGTATGATGTTTATGTTTTTCCAGTTGCTGAAAACACACTGGAGGTGAACATACTGACTGGTACTTAGCTCAGCACCATGCAGGGAGAATTCTAGTTGCAAATTCACATGGTAAAAACCATAGTCTGAGGCCATTCATACCATGCATCACTGACTCTCCCACAGGCTATGTGGGAGTGAAGCAGTCCCGCTACCTGGTGGCCATGAGGAGATGGCACAGACTGTCTTGAAATTGGAAAAAGTAGGGGTGATACGCCCTGCGTAGAGCCCTTCAGTATGGCCTGTGCAGATGCCAGGCAGCTTGTGGCGAATATCTGTGCAGTGTCACCCTGATCCTGGCAGTCAGGACCAATTTGGGAGGGCAGACAGTGGACTTTCTAGATGTTGCCATAGGCTATTTGCATAGTCCAACTTTGTATCATGACCTGGTGGCCATGGCCACCTGGGCCAAGCCACACTCTGTGTCACTGTTTTGCACTGACACTATTATGATAAGCTCTGAATATCTTGCAGATTTAAAAGCCACTGTGCAGTCTGAAGGAACATTTGCTGATGTGGTGCTGGGCATGGACAAAGACAAAGTCCAGGAAACTGGCTTGTCTATCAAGTTCTTGGGGGTTATATGGTCAGTAACACCAGACTCACAACAGTATGCCAATTACAGGCATATGTGGTTGCTAAGGTTTTGGTGGACATACTGTACCTAGTTAAGTTACTCTGCTGTGTCCTTTATAGTAGATGACCAAAAGGGGCACAACATGGGGCTGGACAGATGCAGTGGAAGCTGCTTTTTAGGACTCAAAGAGGGCTGTTGCAAGCGTGCAAGCCCTATGAGTCACTGGTCCTACCCTGCCATTTATCCTGTCAATGTGGATTATGATGGGTTTAGCTGGGGCCTATGGCAAAAACAGGGGAAGCAAAAACATCCTGTTGGGCTTTGGTCACAGCTGTGGAAGGGAGCTGAGAGCTGGCTCACTGAGAAACAACAGTGCTGTACACTGCTCTGCATGCCTGGGAGGAATCACGGGATAGACAGAGGGCTAGGTACAGACATGACAGCCCACTCTAGGAGTGGAGTGGCATAGGTACCCACTCTCACACACTGGGGGATGCACCTCTGGGCTCTTTCTTAGCTAGCATGTTGACAGCCAAACTGGCAACAATTTTGGGACCCGTGATGTACATGGCCCAGGAACCTGTCTGCTAGGATGGACCATAGGACTTGACCCCAATCCCTACATGAAAGGGAAAGAGAGACCTCTGACTGATGCTAGATAAACTGATGAGTCTAGCCATGACCAACCCTGCAATGGACAGCAGTTGCTGTCTAGCCCAATATGGAAGTACTACTCTGGTTTGAACAGGTCAATCCAATGTGCAAAGTTACAGACAGTGTGATTGCTTTGATGCACAAAGAAGGCCCCCTAGGTGTGTGTACGGACAGTTGGGCCATCTTGAGGGGGCTGATGCTCTGGCTGCTGGCTTGAGTAGCTCAGAAGTAACAGGTAGGACACCGTCTCTTGTGGGGTGCTGACCTGTGGTGAGTCATATGGGAGCATGGCCAAAAAGCTGAGCATGTAGGTTATCATGGTGCAGGATACAAGCCCCTCCTCTTGTCAGAAATGACTTAGCCTTCACCAGGCATTGCAATGATTGACCACTAGGAACAGCATCTGACCAAAAGCATTGACTGTTGATCGCACTAGGAACAAGGACTGTAGACCTGCCCCTCCAAATTGAAGCCCTGGCTAACATATGGTCCAGGCCTTGAATGTTACATACCAGACTTTGATGTTGCTTATGAATAAAACTCTTCAAAGGAAAAAAAAGTAGTTTTGCAAAATTGCATGGTTCTTGATTTGTTAACACAATGCATGGGGGTACTCCTATCTAGTTACATATAGAATGTAACATTTATCCACCCCTGCCTTTTGAAGGGTTGGGATGTAGGGATCCATTCAGACTGCTTCAAAGCTCCAGGGCATCTAAGGACACCTGAGGACATGACCTTGCTTGCCTAGCACAGGTGCACAGTGGGATAGAATTAGATAGCCATAGCTTAGCATAGGTAAACATGCATGTGCTGGTTTCAGCACTATGTAAGAATCTAAATATAAGCTAACAACCGGTACAAGGATTATAAAGATGCAGGTGGTTCTCTTGTGCTCTTGCTCTGGTTCTCTGCTTGCTACATGTGGCCTACAGTTGCTGACATCTTGCACATGTGTGTGCTTTAACCTTGGGACCCCACCCATGAAAATCTCCCTTGGGCCCCCTGAGTGGGCCAACAGAGCTATTATAAATAAAGTGGCAATAAAAAAATAAATAAATATTTACGTGCTAGTATTTTTGTGGACATGAGTTTTAAGATAAGTTGCAAAAATAACTTTGATACAAATTATTGGGGATGGGAAGATAATTTAGCTTATTAAGAAACTGCCAAACTGCCTTTCAAAGCGGCAATACCCCTTTAGCATCCTTATCAGTGGTGAATGAGAATTCCTCTTGCTCTTCATCCTTAAAGCATTTGGTATTGCCATTTGGTTTATTTCAGTGAAGAGCTATACTGATTGTTGTAGTAGTGGTGCTGTATTGTTTTACTCAGCATCCGTTGAGCATCTTTTAAAGGCTTATTTGCTATCTATATAGCTACTTTGAAAGCTATATAGGCTTCTTTGGTAAGATGTCCAAATCTTTTTTAATTTTAATTTTTTAATTAGGTTGTTCATTTTCTCATTCTTGAGTTTTAAGAACTGCTTGTGTATTTTATTTACAAGTTCTTTATCAGGTTTGTTCCTTGCAAATATTTTCTCCCAGTATATGGCTTCTTTTTTTCATTCTCTTAGTCTTTGGGAAAAGTGTTGGTATTATTATTATTTTGATACTGAGGATTACTTTGATACTGAGGATTATTATTATCATTATTTTGTACTGAGGATTAAACCTAGGGTCTTTACCCTGAGTTTACATACTCAGGTCTTTTAATATTTCTGTGTTTTAAGACAAGGTGCTAAATCACTTGTCTGGGAGGATTCAAACTTGTGACCCTCCTGCTTCAGTTTCCAAGAGTGATGGGATTGTAGGCATATGCAACCATGCCTCTCCAAAAGTTTTAATTTTAATTAAACATACTTTCTTGGATCATTCTTCAGATGCTGATGTACTAAGGCCTTATCACCAAGACCCGAGTTGAGCTGATTTTCTTGTAAGTTTTTTGGTCTTCCTATTATACTTAGGTCCATGATCCATTATGAATTTATTTTTTAAGACCTCAGTGTTTAACATATTGATATATAATTCACATCCCTTACAATTTACCCTTTTAAAATACACATTTATTTTCATTTTATTTTCTTGAGATGGGGTCCTGCCATGTTGATCAGACTGGCCAAGAACTTGTGATTCTCCCATCTCAGCCAACAGGAGTATACCCCTATCTGTGCCACTGTGTGTAGCTAAATCAGTGGGTTTTAGTACATTCACAAATACGTGCTACCATCAGTTTTATGGTGTATCAATGCTAGCCATGAGAGCAGAGCCCTTATGACCAAGTTGTCCCTTCAAAGTTCCACCTCTTACTGTTACAATGGCAGTTAAATTTCATCCTGAATTTTGGAGCAAATACTCAAACCATATTAGTTCATTGTAGTTTTGATGTGTATTTTCCTGGTGATTAATAATATTGAACATTTTTTTGTCTTTTTCCTTTTTATCGGTACCAGGGATCGAACTCACGACTGCCTGCTTGCAAGACAGGCGCTTATGCCGCTGAGCTAAATCCCCAGCCCCAATAATATTGAACATTTTTTCACCTGCTTTATTGGCTACTGATATATCTTTTTAGGAAAAAATTAGTTTCCAGATCCTTTGTCCATTTAGCAAACATTTTCTTCTATTCTGGGGGTTGTCTTCTCACTTTCTTTGTCATATTCTTTCAAAAAAAGTGACATCTAATTAGGTTTTTCTTCGCTTGCTTGTGATTTTGATGTCATGTGTAAGATGTATTGCCAAACCTAAGGTCATGGTTATTAACCCTTATGCTTTCTTCTAACCGTTTCTTATATTCTAGATATTTTAGTTGGATGTTAAAAATCTATTTTGAATTTTTATATATGATGTAAGGGTCCAACTCCATTCTGCATTGGTGCTGAGGGTATGGATAATGGTGAAATTCTTTCTCAGTGACGTTACCACGCAGGAGCTCAATGCCTGGTAAGGAGTTTCCTGGCCTGTCCCTCCATGAGTTAGGACCATCACAGCTGTGGTTTTCTTAGGGAACTGTGCCCAAGATATAGCCTCCATCCTATGAATGGAATTGGGCACGAGGTATCCTGCACCTCTCCAGTACTTGCTTAGAACTTATTTGCACACAGGTAGCTGGGGCTGGATGATAAATGCTGATGTTCCTTCTTTCCTTCCCAGGAAGACAGCACTCCACATAGGAGCTGGGAGGAGAGAAAGGCCCCACCTGTGTAGGGTTTCATCTCTGAGCTGAAGCGGGAATGCAGAGAGTGACTCAAATGCCACAGATTCCCACTTTTTTCACTGAGTTTTAGTAGACTTTATTATTTTTTTATTGCTGCATATCCTTAACACCATTTCCAGAGTTTTAAATGACTGTGTGTTAATATAGTTCACCAGTTTTTCTGTGAGGCAAGTAGATGGAGTTCCTCAAGCAATTGTGTTGCTATAGTTTCTGTTTTGATAACCCAAAGTCAGAGAGACTTTGGGGAGGGGAAAGCCAGAAAATTAAAATTCCAGTGCCCACATTAATTCATCCTATATATATTGATTAAATGCCAACTATAAAAATGGATTAGAACTAAAAATGGATTGGGTTGGTGGTAACGAAAGCAAGAACTTTGCATTATTAGACATATTCTTGCCCATAAACTTTATATAGTATCTTCTATATAAAAAGTGTAGAAAAGGAAGATAAAGAGCTAATACTCTGTTTTGAAAATTAGATTTTCAAAGAAAAGAGAACTAATAAACTAAGGGCAGCTTATGCCAAGTGCCCAGAGAATCAGTGCTCCAGTTTTTCAGTGGCACAAGGACTATCCAGGACTGTAGTGGTCAGGAAGGATTTCTGCCCGGTAACAGTGAACTGAAGGAGGTTTGGAGAAGGGTGGTATTGAGCATGGTGGGTAGGTGGTGTGGAAGGCATATCCAGGAGGCACAGCAAAACAGAAGTGCTGGAGTGGAGTTGCACATATTTGGTTTGGAAAATAGCAGTTAGTAGACCTGCTTGCTTACTGGAAGGTTTGTTGTAGAGATCAGTGTGGAACCATGAGGTGGTTACTGACCAGAAATGCAGGCAGGCTTGGTTGCTAGACCACAGAGTTTGGACTTTATGTTAGAGTAACTCGAGAAAGAGAGATGTGAAGAAGATGGCTTTGCCTGTGATGTGTAGATAAAATGAAGTGTGTTTGTGTGTACATACATCTGGCTGGCCGTAGGGAGCTAGATGCAAGGGAACCAGTTAAAAAGATTTACAGAAAGTCTGAACTAAGTGAAGAGGTAGGAATGAAAAGGAAGTATCTGGTAGATGTTAAAATACAGCCAAACATAGGTTAAGACAAACATGGCAGTTGTTGCCATAGACAAAAATGCTAGAATGCCAGGGATGTAGACTGACTTAGAGCTTTGAAATGCTATATAATGATGGCTTTCTGCTGCAGTAACTACAGTTAAATGGAATCTATTTTTGAGTTCACTTATTTTTTCTGTTATTGCTTCTTTCCTCTACAATCGCTTGCTTTTAATTTGATCAGAAATTTATCTCTTGTATGTGTTGGTAGAAGGAAACCAAGGTTTGAAACTGCAAAGGTTGTATATGGTTTCAGGGAGGAGTTTAGTCTCTTGGAATCCCAAGGCACGTGGCCAACTCTTGCTTTTTAGTAGGTCTAATGTGACCTTCAAAACTCCTTAGGATATACTGCTTTTTTGTGCGAGGCTGCAGCTCCCCTCAGACTGGCTGGTCAGCTCTCCCACGGCTGTCTGGGTGTATAGGACTCGCAGCTCTCTGGCTAGAGTTGCCAAAACAATACGAAACACAGACAAAAAGCAAATTACAAAACCCGTTGCTTACCATACTGGACTGATGAGTTAAGCCGTGGAGGGCTTAGATTCTTGCCTTTTAAAAATTTCAGTGCAGGGGCACACGCGCGCGCGCTCACACACACACACACACACACGCTCCTACCGCGCTAGGTTCTTCCCACTCCCCGCCACACTGCACCAGCCTCCCTCTCCAAGTCCTGATTCATGAACCGTGCCACCTTTGTCTCATTTTAAACTGTGCAGACTATTTTAATCCTCCCACCCCCACTCCAGATTTTCCCCTCCCTTCATCCTCTGGAAAGCTGTGCTGTAGCGCGCTGGCTGGGTGGGACAGCGTTCTTCCCCTCCGCGCGGCTCGGCTCCCGCAAGCGCGATCCCGCAAAGCCCCCTCCCAGGCATCCCGCTGCGGCGTGGGGAAGCGCTTGGCCCCTTTAAGGTGCGGCGCTGGGCCAAGTGCCGGCGGGGAGCCCGGGCGGGAGCGGGCGCGGCGCGTGCCGAGCGGGCGAGGAAGCCCGGCGCCTCGCGCCCCGCCCGCCCGCCCGCACTGGCCCCGCGGGCAGCCGCCCTCGCCCTCGCGCTCGCCCTCCGCCCACCGCGCACGGGCGGGCCATGCGGCGGCGCTGAACCATGTCCTCCTCCCACGCCAGGAACGGGACCGCGGACGGATCGCACTCCCCCACCTCGCAGGTACCGCCCCCTCCTCCCCCTTCTCCTCCTACGCGGCCCGAGAGCGCCCCGCCTCGGAGCCCGAGTGCGGGGCCCCAGTCCCGGAGCCCGCGGCCCGCTCCCACCCCCCTCCGCCGCGCTCTCCCTCCTGCTCCTCCCTTTATCTCCTCCTTCCTTCCCGTCCTTCTTCTCCCCACCCTCGGTCTCCGCGCTCCCGCTCCGGAGCCTGCAGCCTCCCCAGCCGATGCCGGGGACTCGGACCCCGCACCCCGAGAGTCTTTGTTAATGGATGTGGTGGGTGCCCGCGGGCTGCGCTGCGCTGCGCTGCGCGGGAGTCCTGCAGCCGTCGAGGCGTAGGGCGAGTGGGTGGGCGCGAGGGCGGCCGTGGGGAGACGCGGAGGAGATTCGGGGGCGAGCTCGGGGGGACCCGGGGGCGCAGGTCCCCAGCAGGCGGACTCCAGCCCGCTGGCTGCCCAGCTCCTCGCCGCCGTCCTCACTGGCTTCTCTCTGGCCCCGTGTGTCGAGTCCAGGTGGCCCGAGGCACCACGACCCGGAGGAGCAGGTTGAAAAGATCGGATGGCAGCACCACTTCGACCAGCTTCATCCTCAGACAGGTAGGCGGCGGCGGCGAGCGGGCGGGGAGGAGGCCGAGCCTGGCCGTCGGGAGAGGGAGCGCAGGTGCCGTCCCCGCGCGCCTCTCCGCCTAGCTCGGTCCCCGCTCCTTGAGCGCGCCCCTCGGGCCCTTCAGGTAGCCTGGCTCACGGTGTGCGGGTCCAGGTGTCTCTGCGGCTTCGGGAAGTTAGTTTGTGCTTGTGGACACTGGTCGGCGGAGACAGGAACGTAGAATTTAAGAGCTAGAAATGTTTGTGCTTGTATCGTCCGTGCTTTTAGGAGCGTCCCTAAGTGGGACGCACACTTGACTTGGAATGTTTAGACCCTGGAGTCCAGTGACCTGATTTGATCCTAGGTGCGAGTTGGGGGGGGTCTTCTATTTTTTGTCCTATTTTGAATACTTTAGTTGGCAGGGATCTCCGAGCTCTGGTCAAAAGAAAGACGCTTGGAGTAGAAAGTTTGTGTTCCTTTTGGGACCGCTTTTTTGATCCACTTAATAGGGAAGGTTAAGCCAACCTCTGTAATAAATGAAGGCAGGTACTCAGGTCAGTTTCCGAGGTGTGATGGTACCCCCAATTTTTTTTCTTTTGTGTTGGCTCTCTTCTTCAGTTCTAGTGCAAGTTGCTTTAGTTGCACTTTATTGGTATTGCCCAATAATGCTTAGGTGTCTTTCATCTTGACACAGGAAATTGGTCCTCAGTTTTCGTATATGCGTGTACTGTAAATGAAACCATCCCTAGCTGCTGGGTGAGAGAAAAATCCTGTACAAGCAAGTCACCTTGATCCCTCTTTTGAGCGGAAACTATTGTCGTATGTGCATTTGGGGTGAGTTGAGAAGAGTTTGGTCATGGCACCAAGAAGCTTTTTTTATCTCAGGTTCTGCTCTGGGGTGCTGGAGTGACCTTGACAAGTTCTTTTCCTCTAGGTCAGTTACAATATTGTGTAATGCTTTCTAACCTATGATGGCAGCTGTGGTTTTTCTTTCGTGATTACCATCAATTTCAGAATATTTTCCAACATGGAATAAGCTTTAGATGCAACATTGGATTTTGACTCTCCTAAAGTGTCTGTAAAGCATATTTGGTTTATACTTATTGTGCAATATTTATTTTCTACAGAAAGAAATTATTACTACTGCTCTTTAATTTAGTGAGCACTTAATGTGCATTATTCATGAGATTCTAGATTGATTCTAAAAGTACATTCTATCTTCTTTATAATGCTTAGATTATGTATTTGAAAAAGTGAGGGCATTTTCATCTTTGAAAAATTGATGCTATGCAACTGTTCAAGTTTTATTTGATGTTTATTTTGTAGGTGCCTATTTTTGGTAATGCTTTATGTTGCAGATTCTTGAAAATAAAGATTAGTTTCAGGGGGTGTATTTTGTGAGCTGTTTGACTATTATTTTTGAATTTACACTATCACTTCACTAGTGCTTTAGTCTTCCAAGTACAAAAAATTTTTATCATTATTCTTTCCTCTGTGCCAACAAATGATTGAGATAATATATGTACAAACTCTTATAAAGTGTGTTGCTATTTGTTGGCTTAAACATGTAAAAAAAAACTACAGAAGTAATTTTGGGAGTAATTTGGACCTGTGCAGGTATTGACAATAAATATATTTCATGAAACTTTGTGAAACTGGAGTTCATTTATGAAATGATTAATTTAAATTTAGCAATTAATTGTAATACTCCTATTTTTTGATCCCAAAATAGTACATAATTTTGTGGGCACTGTTAAAGCTCAGTATGTATCCTATACGTGATGTCATTTAATTCTGTAAGGGCAGCAATTAAAAAAACAGCAATTTATATTTCTTTGATGAAATGAAAAATAGAGTGGAATTCAGCAGTATCTTTGGAATGAAATCAGACAGTTGTCACCCAAATGCCAAAGAATTTTTTTTAAAAAAGCACAACAGCTGTTTCAGTTACTAGAGCCTCAATATTTATAGGATGACCAGTAAGTTGTTGATATTTAAATTCTTAATATGCTTAAGTGGTGGACTTTTCGGGGTGATATTTCACAATCTGTTCAGTGCCTTTGCACCGAAGAAGATAGAGGGCCTAAAATAAAAACAGTGCTGTTCACTTCTTTGTCATATCATTTACCAACATAGGGAGGGAAAACTTCCACTAAAAATCATAGGTGGGTCCCATCAGGTATTGAAGACTGGGCAGAAGGTAAAAGGGCAGTTGGCAAACTTAATAAAACAATCTTTGTTCTTTGAGCTAATAGAAGAGTTTCATTGCTTGTGTGTGTACCTGTACACATGTTTGCACACATGCACACATTGGAGTTGGCCTGAAAATAAGCAGACTGAGACAGCCTGCCTTCACTCTGAGGCCTGCTCACTAAGTCCCTCAGGCATCTTTGACCTTGTTTCATGATACTAGGTTGCTGGCTTCCACTGTTTGGGAGGGACGGAGGTTTTGGCATGAATCCTGGGAACTACTAAATGGCTTCTTTGAGGAAAGGTGAGAAGATTAAACATTTTGCTACCAAAAGCAGAGATATCCAGGGGTGACCCAGAAATGATTTTCAAAGTACACACACAGGCATTCTCTGAAAATATGATGGACTATTCTTGTTCTTCATTGAGGATGACACTGAAAAATTGGCTAAAATTAGAAAGCAATGATGTTTTACAGCAAACTTTGCGTAAGAATATTTCTGTGATTAGAATGGCTTTCCAAATGTGACTTTTGAATGTTCTAACAGGATGTCCCTTCTGACAGGCCATTTTTGAATGGATTGTTTACTCGTGTTTTCACATATATAGGAAGCACTTAAATGTTTGCTACGTACCCAGCACTGTGTTGAATATTATGGGGGAAATAATGAAAACACACATGAGGCACACAGCTCCTTCAGAGATTTTATAATGTAGTTATGGAGACACAAGTATGCAAAAATACAGTGAAAGTACCAAGGGGATGGGCATAGTGACCTGTATCCTGAGTATTAAACGGACCCATGGGTGTCACTACGCATACAGTTTGTATAGTAGAATACTCCAAGTTCTGTTTGCAGTAGGGATTGAAGAGAAGATCTGGAGTGGAAACTCTTTTGATTTCTTATTAATAAATCTTTCTTTACGAGGACTGCAAAGTCTTACATGGCCAAGTGTTTTTTTTTTTTTTTGTTTTTTTAACCAGCTTCCAGCTTCATCTTGTCTAGAAACAGAGCTTGAACACACTCTTTCTCCTTGCCACAGGCCCTTTGTGTGTGTTGAACCCTGTGTGTGTGTAGAACTCTAGGTATCCCTCTGCCTAGTTAACTTCTAATCTTCCTTGAGATCTGAGTTTCATCTTGACTTCTTTTTCTAACCTCTTTGACAAGGTAATTTCCCACTTAGGGGCTCTCAGAACAGAGTTTCTTGTGCTAATTTTCAGTAGCACTACCCCTATTATAATTCAACACGTACTTAGGTTTCCCTGTTATTGTCTGTCCCCCCCTCCACATGGTGAGTTCAAGGACAAAGACTTACCTGAATTTGGTCTTTTTTGTCACCTCAACATCTAGCATAATATATGTTCAATCAATACTCATCTGAATGAATGAAGGAGTGGATAGAGGAAGGCTATCTCGACCATCAGATTCTGCTCCAGTATTAAATCCTTTATGTGAAGGGACAGATTTCTTCCTAAGAAGCCTCCCCCAAAACTTAAGTAGCTTAAAACAATAGTTTATTTTTGTGCACTAACCAAGTATTTCTTCTGTTTCATGTGCTGTGAGCATTGCGATGGCTGAAAGGTTCAGAATTGCTTCAAACATGTGCTTGGCAGTTGGTGCTGGCTGCTGGCTCAGAACTCAGCTAGAGCTTTTGGCAGGGGGTTTAGTTTTCCTCTGCCTCATGACCAGCCGAGGTCCTCGATAATGTGGGATCTGGGTTCAAAGTAGGAGCATCCCAAGAAGCAAGGGCTACAACTGCAGCTGTGCTAATGCCCCCATTCGCTAAAGTGCGTGACATCACTTTTACTCTTGCATTCTGTCACTCAAAGCAGGTCTAAAAGCCTGCCCATTTCAAGGGAAGAGGAAAGAGGCCATCTTTTGATGGAGGTCATGTTGCAAAAGATAGTAAGCAAAGTAATCAAATTCATTGTTAATATTACAAATTGAGCCAATTAAAGATATTCCATCTATATGACAAGTTAAAGGAAAAATATATGTTCTAATGGATACAAAAAACATATTTGATGTATTTTAAACATTTTGTAAGTTAAGAATATAAAAGTCTAGGCATAGTCCAGGTCCAACTTGGGAGGATTGCTTATACCTAGTTCAGAGAGAGAGAGACAGAGAGAGAGAGAGAAAGAGAGAGAGAGAGAGAGAAGAAGAAGAAGAAGAAGAAGAAGAAGAAGAAGAAGAAGAGAAAGAGAGGAGAGGAGAGGGGAGAGGAGGGAAGAGAGGAGAGGAGAGGGGAGAGAGAGAGATACCTTGGGGAAAGGGAGAGAGAAAGAGGGGGTGGAAAAGAGAAATCTAATCAAAATTATACTCTAAAACCTCATGAAAAACATCACATTGAGCACATCAACTAGAAATTACATTCAGTAAATATTTAAATAATAGTACATCATCTGTAGAATACCACTTGGCTATTAAAGAAAATACAAAATGGATCTGCATGTAATGATGTAGAACTATATTTAATATATCCACTTGAAATACATTCAAGTGAAAAATAAGTTATAGAATAATAAGTAATAAAATTTCATTAAAAAAGAGCTTATGTGATAGAAGACATGGCTACAGTCATATTTAGAACCTTAGAGCAAGAAATTTCATATTTTTTAAGGTATGCAAATCAGATGCTCTTTACGATAATTCAGTGAACTCACATTGTATTTAGAGATCTAGAACATATTCAATTCCAAGTTGATACTATAATAAACCAAGTTGGCAGACACATTTTTTGGGTTCTAATTTGAGCACTGGTAATAAGCATGTTTCGCTGACGAAATGTGAATTCATCCACAGAAGGTATCTGCTTTATACATAGTTCTAAGAATAATCATGCATCGAGAGACATATATATTTGCAAAATTCATACATTAACTTAGAGAATTTTAGAACAGGAAGAGGTTTTAGAAAGAAAATACCGCAGTTTTTCATTTTTAGATAAATAGCACAGTCCTAAGGCCATAAATGTTATGCCAATAAATAGTGGTTGGATAGAGAGGACC